TTAATTGTTTTTCGACTACCTAACCTACCTAACCTAACCTAACCTAACTTTTTCGGCCACCTAACCTAACCTAACCTATAAAGATAGGTTAGGTAGGGTTGGTTAGGTTCGGTCATATATCTACGTTAATTTTAGTTCCAATAATTTTTTTTTTACCTCATACGTAATGAAATGGGTAGCTTTGTCATTTCATAAGAAAAAAATTAGAGAAAATATATTAATTCAGGAGAACTTGGCTTATTAGGTAAATCGGGCCTTGCATAGTAGGCTGAGAAGTGCGTTCTGGCTACTAGGTACGACATATATATATATATATATATATATATATATATATATATATATATATATATATATATATATATATATATATCTCACTACATCCTGCTCGAAGCTATGCTATATAATATCGGTCACCAAACACTGTACTGACTTATGTTGGTTTTAACAAGTCAATATTGAACTTGTACGTTGTGATCCTGACAGCCCTTTGTTTTGACGATGAAATTTGCTTTGTTTTTGACGGCTGGGGGTTGTGGTGGTGTTGGGGTAGCGGGTGTGTTGGCCTGCAAACTCTAGTGACGCAACACAAAACAAACGCCTTACTTTGTCATGAAACTGGTGCATAATTTGTATTTTTGACCAGACCACACACTAGAAATTGAAGGGACGACGACGTTTCGGTCCGTCCTGGACCATTCTCAAGTCGATTGTCATTCTCAAGTCGACAATCGACTTGAGAATGGTCCAGGACGGACCGAAACGTCGTCGTCCCTTCAATTTCTAGTGTGTGGTCTGGTCAACATACTTCAGCCACGTTATTGTGACTCATCGCCTGCATAATTTGTATTGTTATAATCGAGACTGGGGTAGGTCGAGTCCTGCCTGGCATGTTACGTCGGCAATAGCAACGGTAACTACAAGTAAACAGTATCAACCAACTATATTGACAACAGTAGGAGAGCTGCAACTCTGAGCAAAAAAGTTCCAAATAGCACTGGCTATGGTGAGCCCGTAGTAAGACTTACCTGGCACAGGAGCTGGGCTGTAACTGAGCTGCATCATCGACAGACGCAACTAGAGTATAGTGGCGAGGTGCCGCTGCAATTTCTGTTGTTCATGAGTCAGTTGTTAAGCTTGCAACTTCTACTGTAGAGCTGAGTCAGGTTTATCTGCAGAAGCCATAACAGTTAATTAATGTGACTGCAACTCGACAGTATTTACATCAACTATAGAAACTGTTAACACTTACAATAGTTGTTAGTATAGATGGTAATTCTCGGAGCATCTGTATCTTCCGTTTCTCTCTTACTATTGCGTTTGCCATTGCACATGCAGCGGCCGCTGTTCCTGCAGCAGTTTTATCTGTTGCAGCACACGGTGATATATATCAGTTACCTAACACACGGGAGACATCTCCCGTCACGCAGGGTGCAGTTGCACCTCCACAGATCTCCAGTATCAGCTCTTGATACTGGTAATGGCTCAAAAGGGCCCACCACTTACGGGCTATTCATGCCCGTGCCACCTCTTGGGTTGCTTAATCTTCATCAATCAATCAATCGTTACCTAAGTAATTATCAATAGAAGGCACCAAACCGGGAAGGCTATGTAGCACCATCTATCCGTTATCTAATGCCCAATAATCTGACCACCAACGGGGCACTCAGCTTCCTGTCTTCTGTGTGTGACCTTACCTGTGACCTTACCTGTGAGTGACCAAGGTGATGACATTGTGTTTTACCTCTCCTCGTGACACCGTCGAGGACACATCTTTTTCGCTGTGTATCAAGGATTTGTTCTTACCTATTTTGCTGAGGTTTTACAGTCATTTGTTTATATTTTATTAGTACATTTATTCACATAAATATTTATTTATATAGAGAAATGTATTCATATTCTTTGACACTTTTGTGTTCTCAGTATTAGATTCTGTTTTAAGAGATTCGTTAACTCTTTGGGTTTTTATAATCTTAAGCAGAACTCAATTATCTGAATATAATCTTACCATTTAACAGAGAACATGGCTCATGAAATTATAAATTACTAATGAAGTTTCCTCCTGCTGTGATAAGTACCGTATCTGTCCTGCTTGGTATGCTCTTGGCAGGCTCTGCAAGCTCCTGTACCCTGCTCAACTTTCCCACAGCGTAATCTGACGTACCGCTTGGCCATCATTGCCCCCCATCGGTGCATATACTTGTTTTAAGTCATGATGTGTGCCGCCTTCCTCTTCCCAGTGACGGCCTTGTGGCAGGGAGACAGGTAGCGCCACCAGCGGCCTCCACTCACACCTCTCTCAACTTGGCGCCAGCCCTCCCGTTCCCTACTCACCGATATTTACACCCACAGCTGTATTCCGCTCCTTGGTGTATATACACTTGAGAGTTTAGTCTTGAGCTATATTCAGAACTAAAAGTGTACTTGCTGGTTGGTTAGTAACTTGTGGTGACGCAACCCTCATAGCGGGTTGTTAGGCCTTCACTACACTTGCACGCAGATGACAGGTTTTTTTCGGAGGGGGGGGGGGGGCGGGATTATGTAGAGATTGAAATAGTCACTATTTCCGTAGCCAACATTTGCAAACGTTTTTAAATGTTTTGGTTACGAGGAAAACGATCAGTACATGTGACGGAGCTTTGGCGCCGTTGGCAAGTCTGACTTCATGAAGTCTCCCTATCCAAGACAGAGCACGGTAACCCAACCAGTTGCTGATCTTAGGAAATGTAGATGTTTATCTCTCAGAATGTTTGGTAATATGTTTATTGTTTGTGATGTGTGTATATGTATGTATTAACACGATGTACTGAACGGGGTGAAAATAGTTTGAGCTACCTCATCCCTGTGTGTATTTTACCTAAATAAACTTATTTCAATTTCAATTCAGTTGCTGATCTGACTTGGTGTTGTTTAACTAAGAGGCGGGCGTATATAATCCTCTGCGCTATGACAGACATTTTATCTTGCCTTTTTATAATGTTATTTGGCAGTGATATTGCTTCCCTTGTTGCATTGTCTATGTATCAGTTATTGACGTAGCCTATACGATGTTACTAAAGTGTGTGGTGTACCGCAGTATCTGTAGTCTATGGTGTGTAATGACCTCACCTGTCTACCGGGACCTCAGCTCATGTTGTGCTTTGGGTTAGGTTGAGGTAGACCGCACGCTGAAGTGGCACCGGCTATATATTATAATATAAAAATTATAATTACTATTGAAAAAAGGTTGTACAGGTAAAATATCGTGAAGTTGTATAGATGGTGGCACTATATCTATTATTCTGAAGCCTTCATAAAAACTATGATTGTTTCATTCCATCTTAAAATATTGCACTGAAGATTGTTTGCGTCTTAATTGTTGTACCATTTCACTGACTTTCCTACCCCAATAACCTGGTAGAAAAAAAATTGATTTCTTCTTCGTTCCTGCTCTCATTTAGACGTTTTGCCTCTACGTGGTTCAGTTTTATGTTCTATGTCTTCTTTTAAAAGATCTCGTCTTAATGGCCATAATTTTCCTTTCACATCATTTTGTAATTTCCTAACATTCTTTAGTACTTCTTCCATCTGTTTAGCACAATTTAGGGTGATCCTCAAAGGTCAATCTTTTCCTTTTTCGTACCTGCCAATTCTATTGTCGCAGACATTTTCTTTGGTTGTAAGACCTTCCACTAGCCCAACAATTTTATCTTCTACTTCCGCTTCTTCTACAGCTCTTTCTGACCTAGATGGTATCTCCTTTTCTTTGCAACCGAAAATGAATAGGGACTTACTTCGATCGACTGCATTTTGCACCAATTTCGGGTTTGATTGCCAGTTCCATTGACTTCCAGCCTCGTTTTTTTTTTATCCTGGTTGCTGCCGTTTTTGGCTTCCTTCACTGCTGCTTCTATTTTTTTCCTTTTCCCTGGCCACTTGTGCATACGTTAGTTACATATCCTTCTTGCACTGTTCTATTCCCTGTGTAACTTCCTCCATCTGTACTGACAAAAACTGTTTTTTTTCCTGATGGATTTCCTTACCTAACCTATTGTAGTCATTTATGTATATATTTGCATTAACTTCTTCGAAAGCTATTTTCATGACTATTTTCTTCTTACATGGCTTTGTATTTAGCTTCCCATTGATTCTTTTCCTTGCATAATTCTTTCACTAGCCCTTCAAGATCTAATACTTTGCTACTCAAGTGGTCATTATTTTCTTTATATTTACTGATTATTTCTACATGATAGTTCACAATAAAGTGTTAATTTTGCCAACTTGTTGTGGTGACTGCTAATATTAATACTCTCCTCATTGAATCGACCAAAATCTAGCCCCGTTTAGGTGTTCTTCTTCTCGGCGGCCATCTTGAATTTTGTTGTCTACACTATTTACACTAGGGCAACTTTTTCTCATCGAAATATTTCACTTCCCCAAGCACATTCGTTTTATCTCACCTATTTTTCAAATACACTACACCTTAATGTTTCTTAGGACATTATTCTCGGTCATCAACTTGTTCTACAATACTTAGGAATTTGATATATCCTGGAGGTCCTCTGATGCAGGTGTTGACTCTGGCTGTGACGTCTGTCTTCAGTGTGTGTGTGTGGGGGGGGGGGGGGGGGGGGGAACACACACACACACACACACACACACACACACACACACACACACACACACACACACACACACAGTGTGTGTAATTACCTAAGGGGTATTATCAGGAGAAAGCGCCAAGCCATCACGGCTATATAGCACTGGGAAGGGGTCAGGATAAGGGTTTGTGATGGGACGGGGGGGGAAGGAATGGTGCCTAACCGCTTGGACGGCCGGGGATTGAACGCCGACCTGCATGAAGCGAGACCGTCGCTCTACCGTCCAGCCCAAGTGGTTGGGAACCATTCCTTCCCCCCGTCCCATCACAAATCCTTATCCTGACCCCTTCCCAGTGCTATATAGCCGTAATAATAATAATAATAATAATAATAATAATAATAATAATAATAATGGTGTTGCAGGCTCACTACTCACCATGTACCTGAACGTGAACTTGACGCCGCCACCACCGGCGGCGGGCGAGGGTTCCTGCACTACACCCAAGACGCCGGAGATCCTCAACTCCCTCATCAACCTGACTAGTCCGCCCCTGCCACACTCGTACTCTCAGTACCAGACACAGGTCAGTTCATGTCAGTGTCAGTGACACAGTGCCAATCATGTCAGTGACACAGTGCCAATCATGTCAGTGACACGGTGCCAATCATGTCAGTGTCAACCAGGTCAGAGCCAGGTAAGTGCCAATGCCAGAGCTACGTTGGTGCCAGAACTAGGTCACGTACAAGAGCCAGGTCAGTGCCAGTGCCAGACCTAATTCAATGTCAGAGGAAAGTTAGTGTCAGATCCAAGTAGTGACAGGACTAGGTGAGGTACCAGAGATGGTCAGTATTACTAATGCAGAATAATGACTTAAACAAATAAAGTGTTGAACATTTCGTATGAATTGTCAGTAGGCTTTAATACTGAATGATATGCAACACTGGGAAGAGCCTTCTACTAAACATCTATTTTTTCCCTCATTACATTCTTTTTAATTAAGAAGCTTAGGTACACAGCGTGCTGCTTTCCTTATTCTATGTGAAGAATTACAAAGTATAGATCAATAGCTAGCTATGTATGAGTTCATCAAATATCCCCATCTCACAGGATGGTTAGTCCTACATGGAATCGGGAGAAAACATAAGATGAGAGTCCATTCTACTAGCCTGGATTAGCACTGGAAAAGTTTTTTTTTATTTTTTATTCTGGTCTTAGACGTCTCACTTATCCTGTGTATAAATCTTAGATGTAATGAACCAGTTGTAGAATATTGTGTTACTGTTGCAGGTGGAGGGCGGGACACTACTGAGTCCCATTAGTGACGTGAGCAGCCCCGGCGACGAATCGGCAGTCACTCCCCTGACTAACATGTGTCGAGGCAGAGAAGATCCCACATCACGGCACATGAGCGAGCATATGTCGGGCTGTGGCGGGTTTCCAAGCAGCGGGGGTGTTGGAGGTGGCCTGGTGGGCGGGTCCCCCGGCACCTCAGGTATGGGCGGCCCCCTGGCTGGGGCATCGCCCCCCTCCACCCCTGACCTGCCCTCGCCTGTCAATACCGTAGAAGCAACGAAATCGGCACTTATCAAGGAGGGTCTCAAGCTACAAATCCGCACCAAACTGCAGGCCGCTGGCGTCGAATCTCCAGAGTCTATCCTCGAAGACACCAAATATATTAAGGATGAACACAGCGATGTGAGTAGCCTAGCTTCCCATGACTACCCAAGTCATTTTTTTTTATTTTGAAAAGCTATAAAATTTATAATCTCCCACTGATGTGCACTAAGCTCTACCTGCCATAGTAATCACAGGAGGAACCTCTCCTAGTGCCAGAGACGTTAGATGTTAATGTAAATTAAATCATAACAACTTTGACTGCAATTCATGAATGAAAATCTGCTAACTTGCAGCAGCAGAAGGAAACTTACCAAAGTTTGAATGGTTACAAAATTACGACTTGGACTGTATTGTAGACTGTGTTTTAGGAAATTTACAATCGTAGGGCAACCTCGCAAATTCCGAACAACAATTTTATTAGATAGTTATAATTTAACCTTTAGTGTTCTTTCACATCACACTAATTTGATACAATCTAATTTATGCATAAACCATAATGTTTAGTAATTATAAAGATAAATACCAGTTAGTTTTAAAGTTCAGATGGTTTGGTAAATGATGGATTATTGGCGGGTGCCAGTCTTAAAATTAATTACAATTCAAATTAAAAAACTATTCGTAAATCATTGTTCTCATTTGAAAGACATTGCAAAACTCTCTACCAAACGAAATTATATCAGAAAGTGAGTGTAATTACTTTTAATTAATCACACACACACACACACTCTCTCTCTCTCACTTTCTCTCTCTTTCTTGGGTGAGTACACATTAGGTAAGCACACACCAGGGAAGTCTTCGTGCAGGATCCAGACACTAGGCCACAGTGCTGGCGAGTAATGAGCAGCCTACCATCAGGAAATCTTGGATAGGCTGAGACTGAGTTTGGGTTGGTATCGAGGCTTGGAAGTAACACTATCATCACAACAGGTGGTAATGACGTGCTAGTGTGACCTGGTGTGAGGATGAGGTGAGGAGACGTGATGCTAGTGACGTGTGGTGATTCACGTCATGTTAGTAACATGTTTGTCACAACAGCTGACTGAGGAGGATGAGGAGCGGCGGCGACGGCGGCGGGAGAGGAACAAGATAGCAGCCACCAAGTGTAGGAACAAGAAGAAGGAGAAGACCATAGTGCTCATGACCGTAAGTCATCATGCCTGTTTATTCGCTCTTACTCTCACCCACTCATACTCACTCTTACTCTCACTGACTCGTACTCACTCTTACCGCGACTCTCACACCCCACCAAAAAATCCCACCCACTCATTCTCTTCCCCTCCCCTTACCTTCTCTTTTTCATGTTGACTGTGTCTGGCTTTTTACCTGGTATTCCCAATCAATCCAGTCGTCTTTTTCTCCCTGTCTATCTAGTAGTCTGCCAAATACTTTACTCTCAAATGCGTTGCTTTATTTATATACCCGACTCATTCTGCCGGTCTCAGAATGGCATTTTTTTTTTTTTTTACATCTGTCCATCTTCACCTTTGTCTCTTCCTTTTCATTTATAATTACATATTAAGCAGATTTATTTGTTAATGAATCATACACTAGAATTACAGTGCTCATTTAAATTAATGAACATGTATAAGATTGTAGCATGTTGTACAGCATGCAATGTTTATAAATGCACAGAATGTTTATAAATGTGCTATTAGTGACTAGAATAAATCATATTTTTCATGTATACTGTAATAAGAATTGTTGTTTTCATTTTTCCCCATTAGGAATCCGAGTCTGTGGAAGATATGAATATTAGGCTCAAGACAGAGATACAAAGGCTGAAATCAGAGAAGATGAATTTGGAGAAGTTGCTTGGTGACCCAAAACACCGTGCATCCTGCCGCCATTCACCACGTTGTTCTAAGACTCTACGGCCACCGCTCGTTATTGTCACACCGGCAGACTCGCCAGACACCACTTCCAGTTCTTGCTCCTCCTCCCCTACTTCCTCCACCTCGTCCTCTTCCTTGGGCAGCCCTACTTCCCCTCCTCTCACCAGCCCCATTAGCTACAAGGCTCCTCCCCAGGCTGCCCCTCAGACCCCACCTTCTACCCAGGTCACCTCACCCATGACATCTCCTAATGCCACTTCCTGTGCCTCGGCATCTTCATCACAATTCTTGGCACCAAAATATAGCCCTCCTCAGAACCTGAATCAAAGGCACAATCTATATCAGTATCCAGGTCGATCCCAGCAGAACTTACCTTCTATGGGGGAAAAACAGCACTATGGAAGTCCACCCTCCCCCACTGGCCCACATGCTAAGCCTGCTTACAATTATTCTTGTTTGGGAGTACCTCGGAGTCATGAGTTTATACCGCCAAATCCGCCATCTCAAAAATCAGTATATACGACACCTAAGTCGCGCAATGCTGGATTAGTTCGTTATAGTCCATATAGTGGACGCCCTCCACCTGTGCCATCCCCGCTGGCTACCCATACCCACCCACAACCAGGGGCATTGCCTGCTGGGGACACCTATCTTCAATCAAACAATAACAGTGGTTGCGGGCGTGAAGACCAGCAAGCCTATGTAACAGATGCACACACAAATCAGTTCTTTCCTCCCTGCTCATACAGCAGCATGTGACCCACAGCTGGGGGCATTTAACCCCAAATAGGTTTTGGTTCAAGAATAGCATATTCTACAGAAGTGACATGCAAAGTGGGCTCCTTGTAAATGTTGTAAATTATCACTTTTTTTTCTAAAGACTGCCCCACTTGTCGAGAGGGTCAGCCTGCCAACCAGTCATTAAGACTGCTACACAAGTTTGCTTTAATCATGGCCCGTGATTTTTGGGTGAAATTTACACATGTTCGCTTGCCTTGTATTTTTTGCTGTTGGATAAGTTTTGTTGTTGCATGTTGTTATATTAGACCTCGTATTTTCTGATGGTGTTGAACATTTAGCCAAGAAACAGGATTGCGCCATAATTGTCAATATTGTGTTGGTGTTGCCCTGTTCTTGCTAGTGCCGGGTTTGTTCGTGTGTGTGTGTGCGTGTGTGTGTGTGAGTGAGAGCTCCAGAGCCTGGTTACTTAGGAATAGCACTTCTTATAAGACATATCCGTTATATTTCCCAAGTGTCTTGTATTATGTGATCCATACATATATATTTTTATTAGCTTTATTTTCGTAAGTGAAATGTTGGCAAATATAACATGATGCTAAACGACTTAGGTACAAAACTCCACAACATTCCTCTCTCCCTGTATCATGGTGAAGGACGTGTCTGAGTGTGGCCACACCAGGAGGTTGTGTGGTCCCGACCACCAGCAGGTCTGTAGTGCCACTCAATATGGGCTGCACACTTCAGTGCTGGCCACGCTCACCTATTATCTGCACTTAATATCATCAACTTTGCAAGTGCAGCTTTATGCTACTACCCATAATCAGTATTCCATCTGCTGTTACCTGACTTTGGATTAATGGGACCTCACTATGGAGGTCACACATTGTTGTATATGATAATTCATCATAGACAATGTTAGCGCCATGATTCTGTGTATCGCACCCTTCGTGTTTGTGAAGGTGTTTGTATACTGTATATTACCCCTTTTGTGTATCATCAGTCACTATGCATCGGCTGATGGTGTCCCAGGTGGACTGCTTGAGATGGCCTGGTGCCCGTCCGATGCAATTAGTGACTGCCAGGTAGATGGGTGCCCGGGACCAGGTGTCCCAGTTGCATCCCGCTCCTGAGCTGCTACCTACCCTCACCAACCTTAAGTTCCAAACAGCTGGCTGTTAGAGGAACTAGTTGTCCTTTGTTTTGTCTTACGTTAGCTTAAAGCTGCTCAGATCCCCCACAATACATGGTTGCATTGTCTATAACATTATCTCTTGACTAGTAACTGCAGGCATCCTGCCAGCTTGAAATGTACACATTTATAGAGCCATTAGACGTTCTACTCGACTGCAATTTGTACGAGGTCTAAGACCATATTCAAACTTCAGTTTCATTATGCATTGCCATTATGATCATATACTTAACCCCAGGAATATGATCAGTTTCTTATGTTACAATCAACTTCCTGTGTTACAACCAACTTACAACATTACAGTCAACTTGCTTCTTATGTTAGTCAACTTACTTATGTTACAACCATCCTCTCCCTGGAACCAAACTTCCTTTCACAGTCATCCAATTTCTAATCCTTACAATCCATCCTTGTCATCTTCTGATTACATATTGGACCAGTAACCAGAAGCTCCTTTTCCTTTCATCCTGCCTCCTTTAGTACTCCAGTAACACAGGGGATGAGGAGACAAAATAATATGAGGCTGATGGTGTTGGGCACTGTACAAGAGGTCTGCTTCCCAGCCACCACGACCCTACTGTCGCAGTCCTCTGCACCAGTAATTACTAAGCCGTCCAGCTCTACCTGCTGCTGTCAGTAAAGAGCTCATTTAAGCAATCCCACGAAATTGATTATATTTGAGGAATGTCCCAGAAATTAATTAGGTAAGATGCAACACTTTACTGGCTTTATAAATAAAATTTATAATGGCAGGATTACTACAAGAATTGTAGTTTATGAATTAGTATGTAATACTTTATGTTGAATTTGTTTTCTGTATATACATGTACAGTATTAACTTGTATTTATTTAATACATATTTGTAATTAAAATAATAATGACATTATTCATTAATGACAGCCATTAATATTCATAATTCATAATGACAGCCATTCCATTCCCAACAGAAATGGACGGCTGCGGTGGGTGAGGCAAAGTTCGTTAAATATAGGTCACTCACTCACTTGGCAATACTGCCGATGCTGCCCCACGCTACCGCCACACTCGATCACACGCAACTGAACGACTACTAAACGAAATTACAACGAAAACGACATCGCTGATCCAGTACCCCTCACTGCCGAGAGCACCAGCCACGGACCCTGTCATGGTTGAGGGCTGGTGCCCCACGCCATCCCACATTGAATGGTGACATTCCAGGTGTGTGAGGGGAAACTTGAGGTCGGGGTGACACTGACCTACTCATCGACTATGTCTTCCTCCTGCATATAACTGCAAGAAAATCCGAACGAGATTGATATTATGTATATAATTATCTGTAAAAAATGCAAATGGGAAACTACCTGTATTGCATTGGCATCATATTAGGTTGGTCATGTATATTTATAAAAGACATTATCTCAGCATTTACTATCAACTGCTAATGTGCTATCAGATATTTTTATAAAGCTGCTTCATTGAAGACAAAGCAGATTATTAAATTTGCGATATTCTTATTCATGTTTGTTCTGATTTTCCCTGAAAAAAATTATATCTATTTAGAGCAGGAATTTACAGCACTGAATCACACACAAACACACACAATATCAAGTGTTGGGTATTCCAATACACTCCTATACATTAATGCTGGAATTTTTTACCTGCATATCCCAAGTACATATTAGAAGATAAAACATACATTCCCAATGGGCATAATATCCAAAACCATCACCAAATCATTCTTATCACTGTTAATTCAACATTGAATTAATGTTGATAACTTTGAACCAGTGTTGAATCAATGCCACTCTTGGATATTGTGCCCACTGGATAAATTTAGTAGGCTAAAGCCTACTAAATTTTGTATTCCTTGCAGTAAAAAATTAACAAATAGGGTGAATACCTAAAGAAAGCACACACACTGCTATGCCAAGTAAGAAGAGGGTCATTATATCAATATGATGGCCAGCAGTGGTTTTATGGTATGTGATGTAATACAGGGCAAATTGTTAATAATGTACACTCGGTGACAAAATAATGTAACAATGGAAACTGCATGATGAGCTAGCAATGTTAACTATTGACTGGTTAAAAATCATAAAGGGTCTGAACAATTTTACCTTGCAGAAACCTAAATATTTTGCAGAAGAACAATTAATAATTACTGTAGTTTATTAATGAACAATTATACAAGTACTCTTTCATCACCATACTGTTGTGCTGAACATTTTAAGGTGTTATACTGAATAATTATAAACCACAATGCAGAACTAAAATATATATACTGTTCATACTGTAAAATATTGCACTTTATTATGTAGAACAAGACTCAGTCTATATGGAATAATGCTGAACAATGAGCACAAATTTGTGTTAATGATAAGCAGCTTCAGATGCTGACTTATACTTAACAGGACCTAGATCACACCAAATACTAATTAACAGGACCTAAATCATACCAAATTCTACATACCCAGGGGCCTAGATCATATCAAATTCTACTTACGATGGTCTAGATCATACAAATTGTACTCACCAAGACAAAGATCATAGAAAATTCTACTTTCCAGGGAGGTGTTAGATCATACTGAATACAACTAAACATGTCTTGCAACATACCAAATACTATTTAGCATGGTTTAGAACTGTAGATCATACTGTATACCAAATTAATTTGCTGAGCTTAGATCATACTGAAAACTATTTAACAGGACCTATAACATACTGCAAACTATTTAAATAGCCCAAGATAATTTTGAAACTATATTAGTACTGTATTATATTATTGTTACTATTTATTTATTTATTTGTATATTTATATACAAGAAAGTACATTGGGTTGTGAGAGTACATAATATCGGTGTTCTTAGATTCTTACAAAGCCACTAACATGCATAGCATTTCAAGCAGATCCTTAAGCTAACAAATAGTGAGTAAGTAATTATCAAAAGAAGGCACCAAACCGGGAAGGCTATGTAGCACCAAAGCTAACAAATAAAGGTAAGATTATTAATTGGTACATTGTAGCAAAATTTATGTTTGCCATAATAACTACAAGATAAATTGATGGGAATGATTACACTGGTGAAGTTGCATATCTTCAATACCGAACTCGGGGGAGTTGGCAGCACAAAATACAGTGTGATTTTGAAGCACAAGGTAGAAAAGTATGAGGATGAAATTAGGTCTTTTTTTTTTTTTAAATAAAGCATAGGTTGGACAATTTTTATTCATTAAGGACTGAGTTCCATAGACTGGGTCCCTGTTTGTTATTTGCATGGAGTATTTGCACAGATTTAGTCTGACTTGGGATATCAAAGATATACAGTACTGTATTTATTTCTGGTGTGGTGCTCATGGGTTCTATTACATCTGTCAAGGAGGAGTTTCAGATCAGGGTTAGCATTTAGGAACAAGGGTTATCAGGGTTAGCATTTAGGAACAAGGTTTTGTACATGTAAATAGCATGTGAATGTTTAGCTAGCATGTTTAGGGATTTAAACAGAGGGGCTGTATGTTGTTTGAAGACAGTTTGTTATAGTTCTGATAGTAGATTTTTGCTGGGTGATAATGGCTTGAAGTAATTTGCAGTGGTTGAACCCCATGCATTATTATTATGTACTTATCGGGGCATATATCATAATGAATTCAGGTACAGCTAAGCAGTACTGTACAGTAATAAAGAATTACCAAACAAGAATGTAAAATGACTGACTATGAAATTTTGTCAAATATTACCAAAAGCATGGGTTACCAGGAAATGGATCATGGTGAATATGTAATACCTGATTCCAGATCATAATTAATGTGACTTGGATTATTCTAAATGAAATTGAGCAGAGCCTAAACAAAAAGTGAAGTGTGGGAAAGCAATGTCTGGAGTGAAACAACTGAATAATGTTTAATACGACCAGGCAATGATCAAATTATACTATATTCAATCTATAATGAACAGTATCTCATCTATAAAACTATCTAAATTATATCCAGTAATACCATAAGTTAGTGATTCCCAACTTTTTTTGCCATGGTAAAACCCTAACAAATTATTTTTTCATACACCAAAAAGCTGTCAACTTATGTAAATATACACAGACTTTTTATAGAAGAAAGTACCAGACAGTGTCTGGGATGACCTTAAAAAGTCACATTATTTAAGTGTTGGGAGCCCACAGAATGCAAATCTACTTTCAGAACATATGTTTTGCATGTATGAATATACGATGAAACTATGGACTCGGTAACCCCCCCTCTAATCTCCAACTTCATGAGGGTTTTCATGAAAGCTGACCTTTTTTAAAGGGAGTAACTGATCGTTCACCTGTGATAGTCCCCTAACATCCACTAGCCACCCTGCAAAGTTTAATGAGGCTAGCCCAAGGTGTAGGGCTCCAGTATTGAACAATTAAACATTCTATTATTGATTGATGCCTTACCTTCCGGGATCCTTCGATTGTACAGAACATATTGGACTCTTCATTCTGTGCAGGGAGAGCACCACATGCATCCCGTCTTCAGGCCAGACTCGTTAATTAATGCTGAGTCCATCCCCAAAGACGCCTTCATCATAGTTCTATGTATAGTTAGGTGTAGGTTAATATTTTAAATGAATGAACGTCATCAGTTGAGTCGTGTGTAAACCACTTTGCATTCATAACGAGCATTAATTTGGCCTTTGTTGACAAGGACGGGCTGAGGTCCGACGTACGGCCATGGTTCCTAAGCAAGAAGTGGAGTAAGCTTTGTCCAGCAGTAACCTCGGGGGAGGAAGATGATACGGCAGAAACCTGCACAAGGAACGCGAATGCAAGCCATATAAACGTGATATTCTGTAATCAAAAACGAAGGCTAATCCAGTTTTTTTAATGAAAAAACGCTTTCCATTCCACTAATAACTGATGACGTTCGAACATTTCTCAGGCAGCGCTTTGCAGATGATTTATGTTCGAGTCCTACGTCTATAAATCTATAAATGCTTCACGCAGGTATTACAAACAAATAATTGCCAACATATAACATTAACACTTCATTTAATTATATAAATTTGTAAATGAGATAATAATTATTTTTAATAAAACAGCAACATCAACATTTATGAATGCATGAATGCGTCGGCGGCCTCAGAGACGAGCGGCGCCGGACGGGCTGCCTCGTCGACACTTTGACAATTGTTAATATTATTGTTGTGATTTCTCGGTCTCCTTTATACAAGGCGTCACGGGTCTTGTCAGCGTTCTTGAGAGATGACTCTAGCAAGAACCGTGAGTATTCTTTGGCTGAAGTTGTTTATGGGCAGCGTGAGAGTTGCAATCATGTCTTCATGGATTACTTGTTTGGTCCACGGGTCTGTCGACCCTTAATGATCATTTTTCTTGTTAGGAATATTTGTCTAAGACGTCACGCCATTCTGCGATGTTTAGGTGTGATCGTGATCATGTTAACTTAATCCGTAATTTGTAAAAAGCTATATTAAGTGCGTACTAGTGAATGTTACAGGTGTAGTGTGAACTGTTTACAGCAGACCTGTTGACACTAACTGCAGCTGTCATTACAGAAGGAAAGCATATAGCTTTCCTTCTGTAATACCATTAATTATACAAAACGTTCCTGAATTTACCTGCATTTACTTAGTGTAAGAGTAGACTCACTCATTCTTGCAACATTCATCCAGGCATCATTGCATATGGCTCTCCCAAGCTTATTTTTACTGTTCGGTCACAGTAGATAAATTCTTGGGTTTTCAAGTAGCGAATATGATTCATGAAGTTGTTGATGGGGTTTTGGAAACATTTCACAGATATTGTTGGATGTGGGATTTTTCAGAGGCAGGCGAATGAATGCATTTAATGAACAAATCCACAAGGGCCGTGACGAGGATTCGAACCTGCGTCTAGGAGCATCCCAGACACTGCCTTAATCGACTGAGCTACGACAGGGTAAAAGAGTTGAAATGTAATGATGTTAGGAATGCATTTAATGTTTAGCAACAGCCAACAACAGCAGGTGTGTTGATTGAAGATGGTGTGATTATCGTGTGTGAATACCGTCTCTGAATGCTACAGGTTTGTATTTCATACATGGTTCTCTCATATGTGTAGCCAAACAAAGTTACTTTATTTAATTTAACCCCCATAATATGTTATTAACGTCTTACAGTCCCTATGGATATATACAAGGGGTATTAATTCTTTAATATAAACATAATTTTGCTCGTATCAAAATGCTTGAAATAATCTTTGCTTACAGTTGTCTAAAATGTGCGTTGTTTGACGGTCGTTTAGTAACTACCTCTTGGTAGTAACTAAAGTAGGTAGTTACTTAGTAACTAAATAGTTAGTTACTTGGTAGTTACTTAGTAACTAAGTAACTACATCTTGGCCTATACGTGAGATTACATCCTTAATATTGACATTACAAATGTTTTAAATAAATTGTGCCTCATGCCTGTATGGGATATGCATGGAGATTTATTTAAGGATTTTACAAACCCATGTTATAGTAATAATAAAAATAAAATTGTATTCATAAAATATAGATAACATATTTACAATGGTTTGCACCTGGGTTCAAATGCTAAATTGTATGAGTTTGATGCCAGTCCAAAAGCCAGATACTAGTGAGAAAAACTCACATCATAGTGAATACCCACATCACACTGGACAATACCCACACCATCCTCCAAAAATGGTAAGACCCAATAGCTCCTATGTATGGAACTCAATATTGACTCTAGGAAGTGTTTAAGGTCAGGATTAGTAGTGCCATTCAGAGTCTTATAGAGATAGAGTACACTAAAGTGTGTGTGTGTGCAGTGAATTTATGTGTGCAGTGATTTTAACATCAAATCACTGTACATTGTATTAGCTTGTATAAATGAGCTACTTACTGTGTTAGCTCATGCAAATCATGCTTAATCTAAGCATTTCTAGCCTAATTTACTGTGATCTCTCTCTCTAAACAACGACTTTTAGGCCAATGTAAGCTTTTAGTGCCAAATGAAAACATTCCACGTTAAATACATGTGAATACTTCAAGCTTTGGCAAGAATCCCAACTAAATATAGCTAACTCCAACATGGGCACTTGAAGTGTTCAATTTGCCCAGTATAAAATAAATAGAATAAAACATTAAAAATAGGTGGTAAACATTCATATAGGTATATAGGTATAGGCGAGAACGGGTTGAGGTATATCAATGGAAATGTTACTCATATAATTACGTTTTCTTTTAACCTAATTTGTCATAGTTAAGGGGAAACAAATATATTACCGTAGCCACTCCTGAGCACCAAAGTCGGGTGAACACACCTAGTAAATCGAGGTTAGTTTACGTGTCAAGATAAGCAAGCTGACAACCAGACTCATTAAGACAGCAGTCTACCTTGCTTCTAACTATTACATATATCTTAATCCCTTACATAATTAGAGTGAAGTGTGTATTAAGTATTCCTGTACTCCAAAATGGTTAAACACGATTCGGTCATCATCTTGAAGTACACATACAATGTAGATACAACAAGAAGAGAATACACCTCGAGAAGTATATATATATCTCTTGTATGCCAAATTCTTGCATTACATCTCATTGTAGGTTTTGTAACAGTGCAACTATTATATTACAAACAGCTCAACATATTAATGTGTCTACAAAGAGTCTACCCAGGGTAAACAAAAATCCTTGTTCAAGTGGGTTAGGGATCAAGCTTTGCTGATACTCATCCGGAAACAACACACATCATTGTTTTCGTGACTGAAGGCGAGATAGATTAGGGATCCTGGCAGAGGATCAGAGAGGCTTCAGCTGCCACCAATCACTTGTAAATGGTCACTAACGTAGCCTCGTGTCGTAATATGCTGAAGTTTGAAGTTAATGGTCACTAATGTAGCCCCGTGTCGTAATATGCTGAAGTTTGAAGTTAATGGTCACTAATGTAGCCTCCTGTCGTAATATGCTGAAGTTTGAAGTTAATAGTCAATAACGTAGCCTCGTGTAGTAACATGCTGAATTTGAAGTTAATGATAATTAAAAAGTCAATTTTTATTTGCAATAAAATTGATGAAATGAGAAATATATTTAAATAAATCAACTTTATTATTAAGTGAAAGGTTATGTTTAAAATGTGTCCAGTACACAAAGATTATAATATTTTTGGTTAGCAATAACCATATATGTATGTAGATGTATATCTAATATGCAGTTTGAATTAAGATATAATCGAAAAATTGTATTGGCTGTTTCTTTTCAGTAGTTGTTGGATTGGCATTCTATGTTTTGAAGATTCCCATTATCTATCATATTATTTTCCTTGTTGAAGTGTTTGCTTTATTGCGCTCTCTTTAAACCTAAGAACGTTTGACATTATTATTCCAAGATCTTTTACTTAGTCACTTCTTTCATTAAGAGATCTGGCATTGTCTTGAATATACTGGAGTCATCTAAGATGGAGCATGTATGACTAACCATCCTGTGTGATGGGGATTTTTAGCATCCTTTGACACACACTGTACGCTCCTTCATAGAGTGATTGGGAGCTGTACAAATGCAGATGTACTTGAATGCGTTAATAAAACCTTTTTCGTTTATCTTGATATGGTAAGGGTCCGAGAATGGACCGAAACGTCGTCACTTGCTTTTTCATTTCAAATATGAGTGGGGTTGGGGCATTAATTTCAGCCCCGTTATTATATCTGCAAGAGAACATTTATTCATAGTGTGCATAAGAGTGTGGCTGGACCCAGAGGTACAGTTGTGATGTAGATGTTAAGTGTGTGTGTAACACATCGTTTCGGTAAGGATTAATGGGATTCGTGTATAGTAAATCCTTCATGTAGCACACATGAAACATACCAATTTTGTTTTGTGTTATAGTTAAAATAATTTAAAGTGAGGCGAACAGTAAAAAGCCCAGAACAATGACGCTTTAGTTTTGTCAAAGTATCTGAGATTAATGGGTTCTGCATAGTATGTAAAAGAGTCCCTGGGTGAACAGCGCTGACGTGTTCAGCAAGTGAGTCCCTGGGTGAACAGCGCTAACGTGTTAAGCAAGTGAGTCCCTGGTGAACAGCGCTGATGTGTTCAGCGAGTGAGTCCCTGGTGAACAGCGCTGACGTGTTCATCGAGTGAGTCCGTGGTGAACAGCGCTCACGTGTTCAGCGAGTGAGTACCTGGTGAACAGCGCTGACATGTTCAGCAAGTCGTGTGCACAGGATCCATAGTGACGCAGGAGACGCTACATTTATAGTGAGTTGAATATTTTCCTTCTATAAAATACATTTTATCTCGGTTAAGACGAGAAATAGTTTTATTACGAAAGTAAGGATAAAAATCCCTTGGCATTACCGATTGTAGATTATTTGTTATCATTGAAAATTATGTGTACAGGGCTTACTTTAATCTTGTTAATTGTTTTTTAGTTTTAAGTTCAATGAGGATAATAAAATATACATCATTTTCTTTATTTTGAAATATATTTATAGACACTTAATCCAATATATATATATATATATATATATATATATATATATATATATATATATATATATATATATATATATATATATATATTAATAATATATTACATATAGTCAACTCCATTCATTATATGGGTTCTGATCTAGGCCAAAAATAATAAATTTGTGCATTACACATTAATTATGTGCTGTATAAGAAAATCAACTTCAGTAAGTTTATCAGTGATATAAATGTTATAATGACACGTCAATTTCTCACGTTGGTGTTATTTATACATTGGTCAATTAGATTTGTAAAAAGGTAAAGAAACCGTTTATAAATAATGTGTTCGGATAGAATACATAGTGAGTGTAATACTCTTCTTCATTTAGATTAATTAGCCTCTACCTGGTCATACCTGCTTATTCCCGTCAGTGGGGCTTAATATTAACAATGTGAACTTGAGGAAGATTCCTCCTAATGAGGAGAGTAAATGGGAGCAGTTCAGCAGGCTCAGACGAGGCAGCTTCCCTAACCTACCAAAACTTATCTCAAATGTACATTAGATGATATAATATCAAAGCTAAAATTCGTTTCAATGTGCCAAAAATATAAGAGGATGATAGCAAGCCTCTCGCACGCTTTTCAAGTTAATTTATACTCTTGTTTTCCCAAGATGGAATTCCATAACTCCAGGTGTTTATTGACTGACAGATGTGCAGACATTTCTTACAAATAAATAGTTTACCAGTTGTGAATTTAGCCCTAAAGGGACTTAAACTGCCGCAGTTAATACAGCAACCTCAAGCGGTGCCGACACCATCTGGCACCCGAGTTGGTCCTTAGTACAAATTAATATCTCTAGAACATTAAATTAAATTAATATTTACCTCTTGGGTTTGTAATACTGCGGGCTGGGTTGCGTTTATTATCGTTTAACCTTAATATTATGATATGGATTTTTAATTTATAATTGCCTCCTATGATATAGCTTTATTCACCATTTAAGGGTTTAAATGTAGCTACCACCATCATTATGGTGTATTATGAAGGTACGCGGCTATGGGCTCCACTACAGTATGCTACTTTTGTAGCCTCATATAATTTTGTGGAATAAATTTGATTTTATTTGTAGACTAGGCTTAGGTCTGGCTGCTGAATCGTCACACAGGATTCCTTAAGTAAATATATATATATATATATATATATATATATATATATATATATATATATATATATATATATATATATATATATATATATATATATATATATATATATATATATACAGGAATGTGTGTAAATCACGAAAATTAACACGTGATGAAAATGTGACAGTGTCAGACTACGGAGGAACAATTGAAACAAGAATTTCCTTAAGTACTTTCGTTTATTAATACATGTTCAGAAGGAATAGGAATGATTCCTATTCAGTGACAGTCACTGGAATAGGAATAGGAATCATTCCTATTCCTTTTGAAGATGTATTAATATACGAAAGTACTTAAGGAAATTCCAATTTCAATTCTTCCTCCGTGGTCTGACACTGTCATATACAGGAATGAAAAGGTGAATATATTATCACTGTAAAATGTTTAGATTAAGTCCGCGCGCCGGGATGCCTTTCCGAGATTTTCGGGCGTTTTATACGGAGAATAGTTTCACCTTTCTAAGGAATGATTACTCTCGGAGGTAATGTCACAGGACTAATTATACCTAAGAGTAATGTAACACGGAATGATTATGCCTTGGAGTAATCCTGTACAGTACATCTGGAGGGATCTTACACTATACACCAAGTACCTCTGTTGTCATACAATGCATTTACCTAAATCTGTTTTTGTACAGTCTATTTGTTACACCTAAGAACAAGCAACAAACCCATCGAGTCGATTTCAAAAGTGCAGGTGTTGAGTGGTCGTACAGCAGTGATAGGTGAGGGGTAGGTGTCTCCAAGTGCAGGTGTTGAGTGGTCATACAACAGTGATGGGTCAGGTGGTAGGTGTCTCCAAGTGCAGGTGTTGAGTGGTCGTACAGCAGTGATGGGTCAGGGGGTAGGTGTCTCCAAGTGCAGGTGTTGAGTGGTCGTACAGCAGTGATGGGTCAGGGGGTAGGTGTCTCCAAGTGCAGGTGTTGAGTGGTCGTACAGCAGTGATGGGTCAGGGGGGTAGGTGTCTCCAAGTGCAGGTGTTGAGTGGTCGTACAGCAGTGATGGGTCAGGTGTAGGCTACAAACGTTTACGTAATAAAATACGCAATTATATAAATAAAATATTAAGGCTAGTATGGCTGTATAGCAGCAAAACAAATACAAAATAAAAGGTTTATTGGAGACAACGATAATCACAACGCTTCAGGAAATTAAATTTACACCATATTTCAAAGCATAGCTGCCAGCAGTGTCTCTGGGGAGGACATAATCCATCTCCTGTACAGGATGAACACAGCGGGTCAGAAATAGCCTAAGCTACTCTATCCCTTTGAGATGTGTTTTATTGTCTCAATAAACGAACTTGGAGGATGAACATTGTAGCCCATCTTCCTAAACTGAAGGTACTTATGGTAATTAGGTGATCGAAAGAACAAATATGTTGTGATGGACCACCAGAAAGTAGACTTTTGTATTTTGAAATACAAAAGTCTATTTTCTGGTGGTTTAAAGGTTGAAATACAACAGTCTACTACTATGATTACTACATATTGGTATGATCTATCACATTGTTACACAGAGTACTAGCATTTCAGAGGATGGTTGAATAATTGTGGTGAAATGTCAGAATAGTTTAGGTGGGTGATGTATATGACAAAAGCTCTTCACTATAGATGGTGTCAGCTCGTGAAAATGGTTTGTATTTATGGGTGATAATACCGCTGCCAGGCTCCCAGACTTCTCAACAGCCAACGTGCATATTCAACCTGTCTTCAGGGAGGAAATCCTCCTCACTGTAACTGATTCAGAACGATTATGTAGTTAGAGTTTCTTGTCTTATTATTGTTGGTTTATAGTACTGTACTCTGGTGCTTTTTCTTTTATGACTGTGTTGAGGTGTTTATCTATGTTTCCGTTTCCAATTTGTGTATTATACGACTTTTGCTTATGTGTGTGTGTTATACTGTTCTTGAGTTCTGTTCATGTGTTTCTTGCCTTGTTAATGTTAATGTTGATGTTTTTTCTGTTATGGCTGTATTTATGTGTTCACCAAATAAAAAAGAAAAAATGTAGTTAGTGCTATTATCTACTCTCTATCCATAATTAGGTTAAAATTTTGTTAGGTTAAGTTTCATTGTGTTTGGTTACATTAATATGGTATAATATTGTTCAAAATGTGAAATATGGAATTCGAAAACTATTTAAGTGTACACTTGAATTTTGTTTACAAAAATAAAATCTTTAGCCCGTTTCCGTTTCGAAGAAAACGTGTTCAGCATATATTTGTTATATTTTAAACCAGCGATTTATATTACAATAAAGTTATAAGTTGAGAATAATCTCTGTTTAGGACAATGATTCATTTGGCAATTTACAAGCAGACTAATTTACTGGAACCATAATATGCTTTCAAACCATCAGAGATTTCTAGATAACTATCCAGGGGCCAGATTCACGAAAGCACTTACGCAAATACTTACGAATGTGTACATCTTTCCTCAATCTTTGACGGCTTTGGTTACATTTATTAAACCGTTTACAAGCATGAAAACTTCCCAATTAACTGTTGTTATTGTTATAAACAGCCACCTGGTGCTTCGGAGCTCATTACTTGTTTAATAATTGTAAACAAAGCCGCTAAAGATTGAGAAAAGATGTACAGGTTCTTAAGTGCTTGCGTAAGTACTTTCGTGAATCTGGCCCCAGGTGGTTTGACGGGGCGGTTTGCTGCTCGAGGTAATGAATTTTGTCGCACAATTGGCACATGTTTGCATTTGCCTAATATTCGTAGTTTTCCATTGTCTTGTCTGATATGTCTTGGCGTGCCATACCTTATCACGCTTATTTTGTTGGTTTCCTTGGTCACGGTGGCACCTAGAAATATTAATTGCTGTTTAACATTAGTCTTTGATGCAAATATCTGATGTTTAGGTGATCTTTCACGCGGAAACATAACCAGTGTTTCCTGAAATGTTATTTGGAAACTAGAAGCAACGTAATCAGTTAACGTAGATACAGCGTTTCTCTACCAAACATGATCAAATTAATCTGGAATTAGATGATAATCAAGGTTGCAGAACATGAAGACAGTGGCTGAGGTATGGGAGGCAGAAGTTAGTATCGTAAGCGACCCAACATACGGAGGCGCCCCAAGATGTCGTCCTCTAAGGGCAGCTCCAGCTCGTCTGGGCTAGGCTCCTGACCTCTGGGATAGGTGTCGTATACCTCTCCCCCCTCGTCTTCACCCTGTAATACAAAATTTCTGTTATATCTTGACGTTATTAACTATAATTTATAGTAAAATCTGAAATTAGTTAACTATTGTTGTACATATGGGTACACCTGTCATGTATCTGAAAACCACGGCATAATGTAAAAACAATGGATATCTAGAATACGAAATAATGGATACAGATTGGGTAAGTTTAGATTCCGAGAAGACTGGTAAATATTCTCTCTCTCTCTCTCTCTCTCTCTCTCTCTCTCTCTCTCTCTCTCTCTCTCTCTCTCTCTCTCTCTCTCTCTCTCTCTCTCTCTCTCTCTCTCTCTCTCTCTCTCTCTCCAGGTCCCTCTGTTGTTCACCGTATAATATAATATTATATTTTGTTACCGGGGCGAACCGTTTTATTGGTAAAATTGACAGTACTAATTTATTGTGAGTAATCTGCACCCTATCCTCTGGGAGGAGATCCGGTCAAGGGAATGGATTGGGATCGAGGTTTCATTACGTTTAGTTACGATAATACAGTTATTGATGATAATGTGTAATATGGAATTCGAAAACTCTTTCAGAGTTCTCGAGAATTCCGTTTACAAAAAAACAAATTCTTATAAGAATGTTTTTTAGCATAACCTTTTTATATTTTAAACCAATGATTTAAAATGCAATAAAGTTATAACTTGATAATAATCTTTGTTTACGACAAAGGTTCATTTCCCAGTTTACGTGTAGACTTACTGGAGCCGTAATATGCTTTCAGATCACAAACATCTAGATAACTATCCAGGTGTTTTGAAGGGTTAGGTGTGATTTCTCCTGATAATTCATTTGTCGTGAGGACGGCTCGTAATAACGTGATATGAAGAACTAATTCAACTTATAAATGTACTGTAAACGGCAGATCTTCAGAAACAGTGCGGGACTGTTGACAAGCTTCCGACTTCCTGTCACTGTCGCGACGGCAAGAGAAAGGGGGGAGGGGGAGGGAAGCGTCTTGAAGTAAATTCAGGTAAATATCAGGTACTGTATCTCACGGATGGATTGTTATACAAAATACTTTAATGCCATCCTTCAATCGATTCCCGAGCATCATGTCTGCAATATTCACACATGGGATCTCTCGGAGGATCAAGCCAGTATCGGACACGCTCTACCTCTGAAACCCAAATAGATGCATTGCCTTGGTGCATTCAGATTATGAAGATGGGAATTATCTGTGTGGGGAGGGAACCAGTAGGCTTATTCTGGCAGGCCATTAACGTGGCCGCTGTGGAAGGTCTGATCTAATTGGTAATCACGCAACCCATGATGGACCACCCACCACCTCTGATGGGCCAGCCACCACCCTCAGGTCCCCTCGGACCACCCATCATCGAGACCACCGTAGAGTCCCCTCAGACCACCCTCGAGACCACCCACCACCAGGAGCACCTCTGCCAGACCCCCCCCCCCCCACTAAGTCTGTCACAAGAGGACCACCCAGTTCACCCGCCCTTCTCCACCACCCAGACACACGTCGAGGCGGTGGTCCAGTAGCACGTCAGTCACCAGCACGACCACCCAGGACTTGTTGGCACGTACCACCTCACCTCCAACATTACCAGGTCACAGGACCACCCTTCAGCCAATAACGTCAACACGTCTAGGTTGACATAGACCCACCCTAAAATCTAGCAGGATGGCCCAGGATACCCTCCCAGCAAGACCACCAGGACCTCGAAAGAGCAAACGTATACCAATAACACCAGTACACCACAGGACCGTCCGCCCGCCCGCCGACCACGACCACCCACAAGACCTCACACTGGTGGGCTCTGCCATAACTAATCAGCGTGGAAATGGTGTAAAAGTAAGCCGCAGTAGCTGAGAGTTGTGGCGGTGGGAGAGGGTGGAGCAGGTTTAGAGGGGAAAATGTGTGAGGGCCACCGAGCCAGGGTTGCTCACCCCACCCCCTCTCTCCCTTCCCCTCTTAACCCCACCACACCACCGGCTGCAGCCTCGCTCCACAACAAAGATTCTGCTCACCTATGTAACCTTTAGCCACCACCCACAAAATGAGTATATGGGTTACACAGTAAACTAATTCCACTAATAATTTATCCTTACTTTGTTCATTGTGACTACTACTTATAATTATTTATCCCAGCTTCCCAGGTTAATCATTTTACGTAAAATAGAAAATAAAATACAAATGATATAACATGTTACCTTCAATAAATTATAGTTCACAACAAAGTGGAGACCCCCTCCCTAGTGCTAACAAAACTTTAACACACTAAAACTCAATAAATGCATTCCACGGCGGGTAATGAATGGGAGCAGCCAGACTGCTCCTACATAATTACTAATTAAAGTAAGGGAAATTGGCCATAGCTGCCTGTCACGTGGAGCGAGGGATCTCCACCCGTATGTACACTATAACATACACAGTTTTCCCCTGAACAGCTTTAATGCCTGAAGTGTTGTGTGTACTCACCTATTTGTGCTTGCGGGGGTTGAGCTTTGGCTCTTTGGTCCCGCCTCTGTGTGTGTGTATTGAAGCTTGTATTCCTCCAGCTGACCCCGCCTCGCCCCGCCCACCTCGTGACCCCGCCTCGCCCCGCCCACCTCGTCTTCATGACGTGACCAGGGGCCCCCATGACGTCTCCATTAACGGCTCACTGGAAGGTTTCAGAGTACTAGGAGCACAGTAGTAATTAATTAACTTGACATTATGCGTCGCCTTAATGTTTCTTCAAGTTGCATCCTGTCAGCCAAATATTGGTTGAAGGTAACAATATAGACGGTTAAAAGAAGGCAACAACTAAACTTAAACTTTCCCAGGCCTAGTATAACACATATATGTAGTAAATTAGGCCTAAGGAGGCGTAATTAGGCTTGGGACAAGTTAGCTTGGGATATATAGTTACTACTCTACTTAAAGCATGGCGTTTGGAGTATTCCAGTAATGTATAATGTAAACATAAGTGAGTACAACAGTCCATAAAGACTTGTCTTTTTGGAGGATGGGTTGTGAAGACTGTACGGTTGTCTTGGCAACAGACCGCCCTCCCCCACATCCTGTGGTGGACTCGCCCGGAACTCCCGACGTAAGATGCTAATTGTATTCTCTCACACGTGGCCTACAGATGTATAATGTATTAATCCCGTAGACTGACATTAGCATATTTTTAAGAGGTCAGTGTTTGAGTAATGAATCAAATGTTTATGAGTTTTAAAAATAAAAGGCGCATAATATTCCCTCTTAGGGCTGAGGTTATTATTACCACAGCAGGTGAAATATGTGGAGGGCGGTGAAGAGCTTCTCACCAAGGCTGAGTTCAAGGTTGGGCTCCCCTGCCCTAGCGGACGTCAATACCAATGTTGACACCGCTGGCGTATGTGAAGCGTGTGAACCGTGTGTTGACACCGCTGGCGTATGTGAAGCGTGTGAACCACGTGTTGACACCCCTGGCGTATGTGAAGCGTGTGAACCATGTGTTGACACTGCTGGCGTATGTGAAGCGTGTGAACCATGTGTTGACACTGCTGGCGTATGTGAAGCGTGTGAACCATGTGTTGACACTGCTGGCGTATGTGAAGCGTGTGAACCATGTGTTGACACTGCTGGCGTATGTGAAGCGTGTGAACTGTGTTGACACTGCTGGCGTATGTGAAGCGTGTGACCTATGGGGTCGTATGGGTGGCGGGGGGGGGGGGTGGGCGTCACCTGTGACACCCCTTGACAAGCTGACATCATGCAATGTTGACAGGCGTCTCCCCCCTCCCCCCCAGGCCCTCACATCAATCTGACCGGACGAGGCCACGTCCAACTCCAGGATGGGGGAGTACCTTACGCAACCTCACCCCTCCAAATTAACTCGGATTTTTACGTGCTGGATGTAATTCATGGCTAGTAATGAAATGCTTAAATACCGTAAGTTGTAAATCTATTATTTTTTAAGCATTTACGAAGCGAAATTGTTAGCCCTGTGTCTTATTTTTAGCGAGAGGGTTCTCCCCCGTGTGGGAGAATGGTGAGGCCCTCAACGTGTGTGGTCCAGGCAGGAGCCGGGCCACCCACGTTGTTGCCTCAGACCACACACGTCGAGCTGGTGAAGACTCCCCCCCCCCACCCCAGAACCCTACTCCCCCTCCCTATGCCCCCAAGAACCCCTCCTCGTACCCCTCCTCCCCCATCGTGTTTGGCAGGGTACTCGCCTAGTTGCGCTTGCGGAGGCTTGAACTTCGGCTCTTTGGTCCCGCCTCTCAACTGTCAATCAGCAGTACATAACAGCGGTGGTCTTCATTTTTGCAAAGGCCACTAAGACGCATCATGCACTTAGCCTACTCTAGAAATGTTTTTTTCCCAGGGATATTCTTGCGCGGGCCCTAAGCCTCTGACTGACGCACCTGTGTGTTACTCGTTTCTAGTTTGTCCTTACTTAAATGGTGGATGAGTATGCTCGACTCTTATGTAAGATTATGGTCAATAGATATGCGTTGGGGATCAAGGGGTACACTCTTGTAAAGCTGTAATATGCAGTATCCTGGCTTAACATCAATATACTCACAAGGAGAACACCTCAGTATTCTGGAGTGTTAGTCTTACTGCTAACGCTTCTGGAAATACATCAATGTATTCTGTTTGTCTTAATTCTGGGCATTTATACATTTATTTGTTACAGTTTCAACCAGGTATTAACCAGTTTATTTTACTACTATATAACAAGTATTTAAGTTCCAAGCTATCACACACAAGCCTCAAGGAAGATAACAAAGCTAAGCATTAGAAAAACCTTGAAATCTCCTTACTGGGGTAACCTTGAGGTTACCTTAAGGTGTTATCGGGGCTTAGCGTCCCCGCGGCCCGGTCGTCGACCAGGCCTCCAGTTAGGAGATCCCTAATGAACAAATCCACAAGGGCCGTGACGAGGATTCGAACCTGCGTCCGGGAGCATCCCAGACACTGCCTTAATCGACTGAGCTACGACAGGGTTAAAAAAAAAGAGTTGAAACCGAAGTTCTACTGAACTTACTGGATCCCGTAGCCTCTCCGAGGCACAAACCAGGGTTTTACAACCCTGTTTTTTTTTTTTTTTAGCCCTTGTGGATTTGTTCATTTGATGCATCACGTTAGTGTGATCTCTGTGTGTAGGGGATCCCTAATTCTTAAGACACTTACAGTCACCTGCAGGAGCTTGGAGTCGTTGGGGGCGGCGGTGAGGTCGAAGTCCCTGGTGATGGCCTCTCGGTGTGGTGGGTTGGTGACGGTGACAACGTGGGTGAGGGGCAGGTAGCCGTCAGCGGTGGCTGTGATCTCGTACTCTCCGGGCACCAGCAGTCGCCAGTAATCTCCGTCGTGTACTGGAACACACACAAATATTTATTTGTTGTTGTTGGGGGATGTAACGGGTGATCCCACACTACGGAATCCTCAACAGTGTGTTAGTGTGACATGGATTTAAGACAAATTGTATTTGTCTTAATATTTTTTGTGCAATCTATGTTGTAAATATGTCTCAAAGTCGCTTTGTATTAAAAATTTGAAGTATAAGTTAGCATATTGTAAATTAAATTGTATTTAATTTATAATATACTAACTTATACTTCAATTTTTTAATACATAGCGACTTTGAGGCATATTTACAACATGGATTGCACACAAATATTGCTTTATACAGTATTGTAAATGATCGGAAATGATTAAGTCGACATTCTAACCTAACACCTTCTAGGCCTAACGTATCTAAGGAAACATATAGTACATAAATGTTGTATATTAGGCCTAGGGTAGCTTAGGTCATGTCTAGTATTCTTATTTTAGGCTTAGGGGAGGATGACTTGGTTCTTCTTCAGTTGTATCTAGAACTGCAGGCTGAGCACACGGCCGTGAGACCCTGTGTGTGTGTGTGTGTGTGTGTGTGTGTGTGTGTGTGTGTGTGTGTGTGTGTGTGTGTGTGTGTGTGTGTGTGTGTGCTGTGGATTATGAATAAGCATGAATGTAATATTTTATGGCAAGTAAAGATGAGATGTACAAAAAAATGTGTAAGGTGTAAAAATGTGTAACAAAAGGTGGTGTAGAGGCAACGGGTGATGGAGTACCTGAAGTGACGTCGTGGTTGAGGTCCTCGTTCCTGACGTGAGTGTCGTTGATGCGGGTGATGTTCTTGACGTGGATGAGGGCGTTGGGGATGCCCTGACCCGTTACAGAGTCACGCACCACACCCTTCACGCCTATGTGTACCTGTCGCCAAATAATCACTCTGAAACTACATGCAAATGTTTATTTTATTTCATGACAATTTATTAATAAGGAACCATCCAGGCGCCGGAACAGCGTGACTGTGACAGAAAATAAAGTGGGAGGAAACAAAACGCTCAACCCTACACTCCCATTTTTTTTTACTTAATAAACCCATTAACAACTTCATGCACAACTGTGTAAGAGTGACATGACACAAATGACAAGATAACATTACTATGATGACCAAAACTGGTGAGTGAGATAACCACTGACGGGGCTGTAACTGACCTGCCACATATACTCTAAAAGAGCGTCCTTGTTGTCAAGCCACTCCTGCTGGAGGGATGAGGCTGCAGGGTACTTGTCGCACCCAACCTCCAGCGTCACCTCCAGGTCGTTCGAAGACAGGTAGTTGAAGTCCTGCATACCTGAGCTCGAAGAGTATAAAAAAACGTTAGATATTATATACATATAATATATGACTACAAGGGGAAAAAACAAGAAATTATACCATATATAAAAATATATAAATATAACTTGGTATACATGTATTTACCAAAATCATGCAGATTAATAATTTGATAGCATCTAAATTTTGGGCATATACTGTGTATAAATTATAGTCACGCCATATATTTGTATAGTATATAGCCATATTTCTCTGGTATAGAAGGTAGGGAGAGACTAGCGCAGGAGGAGGCTTGAGAACTGACCTCCGCGGACGCTGTACCAGGCGGCGCCGTTGGTGACGCCACCGTCGGGGCCGAAGGAGTAGTCTCCCGAGGTGCAGGGAGGCCGGTGGGGGTCGGACATCCTGGGGTGGCGGCTGGCGTACACCTGCGCCAGGTGTCTGCATTCACACACAATCACATGTTACTTGTTGGTGTTGTTGTGGCTACCGGCGGCTAATTCGGTGAGCGTGTACTCACCGGCGGTACACTCACCGGCGGCTAATTCAGTGAGCGTGTGTAGCCCAGAGGATGATAATTGGCGTGTGTAGCCCTTTTTACACTACCGCTCAGAGGATAACTGTGGTTATCGTAAGTGGTTATCATATAACGCTACAGTTATCCTCTGAGCGGTAGTGTAAAAGGGCTACACACAACACAAAACGTCTTAATCACACATAAGTGAATGTTGCTTAACATTTTTTTTTTACCCTTTATCTGCACCATATATTTAATTACAATGATAGCTAATAACAGATTAGTAGTAAATGTGCTATTAACTGTTTGTATGCCAGTATTATATTGCATATTAGAGGCAAATTATTTTGGCAGAAGTTAATATAATTTTCAGTATTTATCCTGTAATAATCACGGTTTAAGATATTAGGACACTGCTTAGGGAAATTTGATTATACTTTACTTTCATTTCACATATTTTCCTCTTTCTACAAGAAGTGAAATTTAAATACAGTACAAGAATTGTAGATATTTTATTAGTAAAAAAAGTTATATGCTATTCCATGTAACATTTTTGTTTCTACAGTATATCGAAATGGCTCAGTTTTAACACATAATATATAATGATCTAGTGCGTGTCCCTGGTTTTGTCCACACATTTTATATTTGATGTCATCTAGAGTCAAGACTTGCCTATACACCAAGCTGAGCCACCAGAGATCCATGTTGCAAAGCTCGATTCGACCAGTGGCAACAACTGCCAGTTATTTCCGGTCAAGTCTACAAAGTCAACATAATTTTCTTGGATGACATTTACATATAGGAAATAAGAATTCAGCAGCTGAACTCTGCCTTTTTCTCAAATACCTTCCATGCTACACAGACTTTAAATTTATAAACCAAAAATTTTAGCTTGTATTTTAACAACTATTATTTAATCTATATAGTAAAATAATTTTGTTATGTTTTACCTAACGGCTATTATAAATAATTCCAATAATTAATTATTATAAATTAAGGGTTTTTAGCTTGAACTTTGATCATGAAATTCTTAGCTAATTGTAATCAAGTACTTCTTTGCTGTGAATGTTTAACTTCTCTCGGTCTACTTGGAAAAAGCATTCGCAAATAAATGGAAATAATAGTAAGATAGAGAGGCAGGCGATAACATTGGCGAAGACTATAATAATGACAGATGCAGCCTAAGCCTTATTTCATAAGGAATTGTTTTCCCTAATACTATGTATTGCCATGAATAAAATAAAATGGACAAATACATAACCATAAAACTAACAATGTTGCGTTACTATAGAATTTATAGACAAAATTTGTTCACGAGGTGGTTTGGGCACCTACACTGAGTAAGCTCTTAAGACCTGAGCAAATTTCCGCCACCATCTCAATTCAACCAAACTTAACCTTACTTAACGTACTGTATCCTATCCGTTCCTAACATAACTAAAGTAAGATAAAAACCAATTGTACTTTGTGTGTATATGGTATACATAGTGTGTGACGTCATAATTCTATCAGTTCAGGTGGTTGCACTTAACTTTCTCCAGCCACTTGTAAACAAAATACAGTACATGAAACTGTAGGTGTCGATTTTGCGCGGTATTCCAATTTTTCAATTTTAAGCATAGTAGAGAATAATCATTTTATAATAATTGATATTAGTTTGATATCGATCTTTTGAATCAAATGGCAAAGTCCCGTCATCACGTGTTCCAGTTGACATTTAACAGACATATCACCGATATCTACAGCCATATTTTGTCATTTTGCGTATTAAACATAAAGGGGAATAATAAGAATACCGGAGCAGCCCAAGAAAAGGTAACCTACCTGAAAGTGCTGTCATCGGGGCTATGGGCGTACTCCTGGGCGGCCCCAGAGCGGGAGGCGTCGTAGGGATAGTTGGCCACTAGGTCACCGCCGTGCAGATTGGCAGAGAGTACGAAAGGCGTGCTCATGATCCATTTCATGGCCGCCCATGTCTCGGGCTGAGGCTGAGGGGGAGCAAAGGGGGATTGTGGTAAGTAGCACCGGGAAAGAAACTGTTAGTATGCACTATCAAAATAAATTTCGGAAATATTATAATTGAGATGGAAACGCGTCTCGGGAGCCATACAGCGGCTAGTGACCACTTGGTCGACCTGAAAGGCTTTGGCAGACCTGGTGGTTCATGTCCCACACATTCGCAAGGCTTCTCAGACAAACTGGTCCTGGTAGTGTGGGATAAACCATAGCCCACATGTGAAATTTAGAAGAGTACTGCATGAGAAGTGCGGGATATTTCTTACCTGATGGTCGAGGTCGCGGAGTTGGTCCATGAGGTGGTTGTTGTGCATTATGTGTCTGGCTTCATTACTGTACATAATGCGGTCCAGGTCTGGGAAGTCTCGGTTGAGATCCACACTGTTGTTATTGGCCCTGCCCTTGAGGTAGTCCCGCGCACCCTGACGGAGAGACAGGGAGGATAGAGGTCTCCTGATGGTGAAAGTAGGAAAGGAGAGCTATCTGAAATTAAATTCGATAATAAATGGCCGTTTTTAATTAGTTGTAAACACTACTTGCACTGGTGTACAAATTGGTTTTATTGAATGTAACCAAATTCTCATATTTCACACACTTCTCATATTTCCTTAGCCTCGTCATTCCATTTTCCTTGTGTGTAGAAACTAAACAGGCTATGGGTCCTCATAGAGCAATTCCGCTGCTTATATTACACGTGAAGCTAAACTTTACGTAGCTTTTACAAATTTAAACAATCACTTCTAAATCCATATGTGTGTGTGTACGCCAAACACTTATACATATAGTATTTATGTCCAGGGGTACCACCCCTGGTTGTATTAGTGGGAAGCCTTCGCCTCGGGGAAGAGAATATAAGGTACCCGGGGGAGAAGCTAAACAGCCTTTATGAGATAGATGCTGTATATGTGAGACCTGACTGCATATACCGTCACTGATCAGGTGTAATATCTTGAATAGGTTCAACGGATCATTGCTTCTGAAGTCGGACCAAATAGGCCTTCTGGTTGAGCGCTTGATCTGTTAAAACTTTGGTATTTTGCAGCCGAATATAATCTGCTGATCTCGGCGAAATTTCCAAATATATTACACGGAGAATGCAACTCGAATCTTATTATACTGACAGAACATAAACATTGCAATTAAGATAAGTCGTCACTTTGTTGTCAGATGTGTGGGTAGGTTATCATGTCTTATCAGTTATGGAATTTAAAATGTCCTGTGTGGTTTCTGTGGCCTGCATCTCTGAACCAAGCTTGGGTCTCACGAGGATTCCAACAGCCCCAACGATACTCACGGTGTCAGTTGCCAGTTGCCATCCGTCGGGGTTCAGGGAGGGAAGAAGGTGGATCCTAGTTGTGGAGAGGAGGCTGCGGATGTCAGGATCGCCTGCTCGCCAGGCCTCGCACAGGTAGTGAGCCAAACCCAGAAGCAACTCTCTTCCCAACACCTCATTGCCGTGCATATTAGCCACATACTTGAATTCAGGCTCCACTGTATAAGAGAAAATATGGGGGGGAGGGGGGGAGAGTTACCATTGAGGAGAGTCCTAATGGACCACAATCTTAAACCTTATGTGTACTGCATCAGGTTTAAGATTGTTGATGACATCTTGCAGCTACCTGACAAGGAAAACTTGCTGCTGCTAATGGACACTCTGTGCTTAGTGTACTTATGAGATAGATCAATAATTCTAGCATAAATCTTCTATCATATTCAATAACACATGTCGACATGTCTACAAAATCGACTAGTTCCAATGTATATATATTCAGGCATATTGGTCCCCAAGCCATAAATATCTAAGAACTGTGACCGACCAGGATTCGAACCTGCATTACCAGGGCTTTCCGCACTGGCGTACACAATACTATTGCCACTTCACCATTGATGATTGTTGGTGAAGTGGTATTGGTACCGAGTACACCAGTAGGGATGAGCCCCCGATATGCAGGTTCGAATCCTGGTCGGGTCATAGAGTTCTTAGTGATGTATTTGCCTCGTGCAATTTTCATGTGGTGTGTATAAAGACAAATAAGCAATATTTCATGAAGAAATACATGGTGGACAGTATCTCGCTTCAGTACTCTGATATCCTCTAATAGTATAAGTTATCAAACGAACTGGAAATTACTTCAATTTTATTTTTTCACGATCTATATACATATAAAATGAAAATAAATACCAGAATGAAACTGTAATTATTGTTATACTTGAGGTCTATGTGCGAGCAGACGGGAATCAAGTAATACAAACATACCATTCTGATCTCGGTGCAAGAACGAATGGCTGACCAACTTTTTAAGCTACAACAATGAAGCTACATCTTATTTTTGAATAATACCTGAATTCTAAAATTTAGAACATCGAGGCAACTTTTGTGGTGGCTTGTATAAATAATGAATGAGAATACAGGAGCTGAAGACAATAATTAACATGTTCGCAGCGTTGAGAGGCAAATTCACACACAGTAATGCTTACATAATTCATGTTGGCCAGGATTGTCTGAGAGCTCTATGGCCCAGAGCGGTACGTTCCTGACGGAGGGCTTGCTGAGGGCGTAGACTTGAGCAGCGTCTTGACACCTCCTGGCCACGGCTCGCAGCACCCCCTCCAGCTCCTCGTTGCTGTGGTGCTTCCACTCAAACTCTGCATCGCTGCTCTTCTGTAAGTGCACGAGCAACACGCCATTATGAAGCACTTGGCTGTGACGACACGAGCCAAGATTAAGTCCGGGATTACGGAAAAATACATATTAACACAAGTAGTATCCTAATAAAGACTATTACGTCTTTAAAATTTTGCTAATTTGCATTACCAGCAGATGGAGCGTAGAAACTAGTACGAAAAGGATTTTTTTATCTGGCTGAGATAAATGAATAATACCGTATGCTCAGTAACGAAACATGACTTGGAACGATATCGCGCTAGGCAGTTTCACCAACCCGAAGCCTATTTTGCCTTTGTGCCATAGTCGCAGTTGTAGGCTACTCGCTGGGTTTCAGAGACTTCCGGGCTTGGCGCTCTCTGTAGACAATTACTTACTCGACTTCAAATATAGCAGAGGTGCATGTAGTGTCAGTATTAAGCAAGTTGATCGCCAGCAAATTGCAGCCTTGCCTTATACCCGAAATTTATATTTTTATGTGGCAGGAAATAGTGGTGAAGCACACGTACAATTCTTTTTTACATATCTAAAGTTAAATTATAATCATTTATCTTTCCACAGATTATTATCAGGAAGGCCGGACCAGCCTTAGGAGCTGCAGGGCCCTAATAGGAACATTAGTGGCGGGGTCTCCAGGTTCACAGCCAAGGTATGTTTTTGTGAAATAATTTATTAAAAATATTAATTTAATTTTTATTTTGAAAAAAACAAAAATACATTTGAAATGTAAGTGAAAGACTTTGTTGGAAACAAATTATTATACTTTTTCCTAAAATCTTTTTTAGGAAAGATTTTTATTTTGAAAAAAAATTGAAATGTAAGTGAAAGACTGATGGAAACAAATTATTAAATTTTTTCCTAAAATCTTACTTTTATTTAAAAAAAAGGATATCTATCTTTCTTGCATACATGTATTGCATATTTGTAATCTTGAATATCTGTATTATCATAAAGAATTCAACATACATAAACATTAGCTTACAAGTTCTTGTTTTTGAGAGTAAGGGGTGAGTGAAGGAGAGTGTGGTGTGGGACTAGGTGGATGGGGGGAGTGAGATCTGGGGGATTATATAAATTAATCACCTAAATCTTAAATTTCCCTGAAATACGCCCCGCCAAATCGTTTAACAATCAGGTACCCATTCACTGCTGGGGGAACAGAGGCGTACAGTTAAAGATTGGCGCCCAGTTAATCCAACCCGGCCAGGATGCGAACCCAGGCCAGATTGCTCGCGAAGCGCGGGTCGACTGTGCTACTTCTGCGCCACGGGGACTGCTTATGAGCGAGAAGGGGGAGACAGAGGAGAGGGGGCGAGACAATTCTAAGTATTAAACAAGTGTAGAGGTAAGACTTATAAATTCACATTAATGCATTCATAAATCTATGTATCTATGTATTTACGTATGTAGCTTAGCCTAACATTTTAAAAGCACTACGATCACCTTCTGTGATTGTTCAATAAATCTCTGAACTGTATGTTTGACAAATCTTTCACCCTGTCCATGGAGGACAGAAGAAAATGTATATATGCTGGTTAGCATTGTAAATGTGTGGCCACGTCTGTGGTAGAAAATAATAATAAAAAACAAAAAAAAAATTTCGACCAAAGATCTCATTCACTACAAAACATCTACCACTTACGGGCTATTCTTGCCTGTGCCACTTCCTGGGTGGCTTAATCTTCATCAATCAATCAAGACATCTTTATAAAATACAATGCCTGTCCAAAGTATGCCAGTCGCTTGGGGCTAGCCTCGCTCAACGTTCCACATTAACACATGTTGGGTATGCGAGTATCATAGGCCAGTCTGGATGGCCCCAGTGCCATACTTTAAGAAATATCGGCATCTATAGCAATCCCCCTGCGATTTTCATAAAATCTGAAAAATGGGGAATGCGTTTTCCATTGAGTTTTTGGCAGATTTTTCAGTGCTTAATAATAAATACATTTTCTGAGAGGGGGAAGAAGTAAGGAGAGAAAGGGGGGGATAGTCAGCGAGAGGCGAAGGACAAAGTGAGGAGAGATGTGAGAGGGAGGAGTTTGAGAAGGAAAAAAAAAGAAACCTGGAACAGCCGGATACCCCATCTAGTAGATGTATAAGGAAGGTATGTATATAAGCAAGTCTTACGGGCTATGGGTGGCTTAATCTTCATCAATCAATCAATAAGCAAGTCACTGTTGTCTTATAACCGCATCACGGTTATAAGCAAGCTGTAGATCATAAAAAAGACACAGGTGTAATTATAAAACACGGGTGCAGGGCTTACCGTTGAGACAGCTGCTGTCTGGGCGGGCACAGCCGCCCCCATCACTATGGGAAGAGCCGCCCACAACACACTGGCTGCCGCCCACACTATCATACCTGCAACACCAGGTGTATAGTTACATGTTGTGTACCACTCTGGCCATAATATCAAGGTCGCCTTAAAACTAAACAATGATCTTGAAATAATCGCAAAGATTTCCCTGCGTTAGATTTAGGGTTATATCAAGGCCGTATTAAAGCTATTAACTTCTCTATAGTCACGCGCGCACACACATGAAAAAGCGAAAAATGTCAATATAATTAAATTTTAGTCTGAAGTTCAAATTAATATGCTAATTTCAAGTGCACATCAGCAACTGGGAAAAAGGTGCAATGACATGCAATTAATTAAAGTTCAAGTATGTTTATTGAGACACAAAAGAAATGCATCTCAAAGGGAAAGAGTAGCTTAGGCTATTTCTACCCCCCCTCTTTGCAACTAATTGGCTTCCGGAAACGAAAAGACGAGCTATGAGGAGAGGCTAGAAACATTACATATACCAAATTTAGAAGTTAGAAGGAAAAAAAACGACGTTTTCACTAATGAACAAAATAGTAACGAGAATCGATAAAATTTATCAAGACGAATTCTCGAAATCTTGGACTTCAAGAACAAGAAGTCGTAGATTTAAGTTAACAAATCTGCAGAAAAATAATATTGGAAAATTCACTTTCGCAGAGTGGTAGACGGTTGGCACCAGTTAAGTGAGAAGACCGTGGAGGCCAAAATATTCAGTAGTTTCAAGGCGTTATATGACAGTGCTGGGACACCACGAGCGTAGCTCTCAGCTACACTTAGGTAGTAATATTACCAACTACACGTGTGGTAATAATTTAGATAATTTTGTGAGCACACACGCACACCGACACACTATCCCGACACACGCACACCGACACACGCACACCGACACATTAGGAAGTGATGTGGTGGAGGCTGACTCCATACACAGCTTCAAGTGTAGATATGATAGAGCCCAATAGGCTCAGGAATCTGTACACCAGTTAATTGACAGTTGAGAGGCGGGACCAAAGAGCCAGAGCTCAACCTCAGCAAGCACAACTAGGGGAGTTTATACGCGCACACGACTGCAGTATATTTAATTATATTGGTATCAATATATGTATACAGGGGCTCCTATAGGGGCGCCTCCTACTTTTCATCTTCCTATAGATCATGCTGTTATAGCTCTTCTTTGGAACAGAATTATGAGAAAAGGGGTTTGAATCTTTTATTGCTTCAGATATAACTAAACCAGACCCAAAATCACCAACATTGTTGAGAAATAGACATGAAGCCTCACAACTCAGATCTCATTGGTGTCTCATAAATGAGTTTCTAGTTGTCACTTACAACATAAATTGAAACCTCTTTCAGCTGACGACTGCCAGCCTACCTTAAGGAAGGTAAGTGCCTGCCTTTAACAATTGCTTTGTGTATAAGACAGACGTAATTGGGAGCCACGAGAAGAGAACACACCCTAGCATATGGATCGCGGCCATGGTACAGTGTATTGTTTGGCGTGACAGTATTTTATATACACCTGAATTGTATTATACATTTGAACACTCTCCAGATAGCTGCGATGGTTAATATCACTCAAAAAAATAATCAACAGGCGATGTTGATTATTAAAAATTAATTGAAGCTGTAGCAATCTTTTTGTTTGATGCAAAATTGATGTGAGAAACATATAACAAAGCGAATTAAACACGAAAGAGTCAAAGGATTGCGATCACTGAACACACAGCTGAAGAGCATGGTAAAGGGGGGAATAGCAGATGCCAACTGGAGATTGGCGCCACAAAACAGAGCAAATGCCAGACCTACTTGGCTGTGGTGGCTGGCTGGTTTGGTACTGCTGCTGGCTCCGACCTGCCTCTTCTCTCTCTCTTGAGCGCACGCGCACAATTCATGAACCATTATTAGTCTAATACTTAGCTTTGTAAGTTGAATTATTGTGTCATGCTTTATAAATGTATTAATTTGTAAGAGTATCAACAAATATATCGGTAAATTGAGGCGTATCATGTGCATATAGTGAGGCCGACTATTGATTCCTGGCGTACGCGGGTCGCCATAACAGCTGAGCGTAGGCGGGCGACGTCTGGGTGACGTCAGGGTGACGTCAGGGTGACGCGTAAGGGACAACACAGTTAAGCCCTCACAGGGGGCAGTAATTTCCCTCATTCTATTTTAAGACTCGAATGTGAAAGAGAACAACCCGCCAAACACACCGAAACTACGACGTTGGTACAACGTTCGAACAAGTTTTAACACCTCCTAACCAGTTATAACAACCAATATAGCAAGTTGTCACAACGTTCTAATACGTCATAAACACGTTAAGCCAAGATGTAACAACTTTATTACAAGTTGTAACAAGCGGAAAAAAGAGACAGTTTCGTTTTGTGTTTCCAGGGAATATACTTCACCTGATTTCTAGAGCAGCAAATGAAAAAGTGTTATACGCGTTTCCTCTCACCTTATGTTTCTGTTCACATATCAGTAAATAGGTGCCCAGGCGTTAGCTCCTTGTAGAGTTGCATCTTTGGGAGGGTCAGTAGTTCGACCATTGATGATGTGACGATGTGCATAGAATTTTGTAACTAGCTCATCAAGACTGTAACTTGCTTAGCTAAATGAATTATGGGGTTCAGTCCCTGAGCCCATTATGTGCCTCTGTAACCCTTTCCACTACCGCCCACAAGATGGGTATGGGGTGCATAATAAATGAACTATAATTAAAAACTATAATACAGACGTAGTATAAAGTAAGTTTAAGTTAAGAACATAATGAAATATGGACAGAGGAAACTGCAGCCGTTATCTATCTTTAGATAAGATAGATTGGGCAGACCTAAACATGGGAGATAAACTGTTCTTGGGACATGAATAATATTAATTAGCGATGGGTGACATAACAGTAGATTATGATGGAGATTCAAATTATAACAAGTTTAAACGTATTAGGCAATGTTCTCACAGACCTAAGTGTGGGGGCGTTATCCTATGTTATTATGTAAATATTTACACCACCTTTCACACGCTCCTGAGTGATCAACATCTGAGTATATGGTTAAGCGCAACTTTACGGTTAATACAGTTGGTACCCTGTTGTTGTTTAAGATTCAGCTACTGGAACTAAAAGTTCTAAGTAGCACGGGCTATGGTGAGCCCGTAGTGGACTTACCTGGCACAGGAGCGGTGCTGTGTTGGTACCCAGGATCCAGTCCTGTTACTCTTCTTGATCTCCTGGCCATGTCACCTCTGTTCCCGAATGCCGATGTGCCCGCGGAGATGTCTTCTAGGGGAGTGTGGTCAGTTGTCCTTTCTGCCATCCTGATACTCTGAGAACTAGAGGTATCCGCCTGGATGCTATCCCTCGTAACTCCTGTCATATCCAAAGGAGAGTATTCCCAGTAGCCGCGCTCACTCTCACAATATCAGGATGACGGAAACTATAAGCAGGCGACGAGTCACAATAACGTGGCTGAAGAATGTTGACCAGACCACACACTAGAAGGTGAAGGGACGACGACGTTTCGGTCCGTCTTGGACCATTCTCAAGTCGATTGTGAGAATGGTCCAGGACGGACCGAAACGTCGTCGTCCCTTCACCTTCTTGTGTGTGGTCTGGTTAAACACAGAAACTATAACTGACCTTACGGGTTATTCATGCCCGTGTAACCTCTAGGATGGCTTAATTTTTATCAATCAATCAATAACTGACCATAATGCCATGTGTGTGTGTGTGTGTGTGTGTGTGTGTGTGTGTGTGTGTGTGTGTGTGTGTGTGTGTGTGTGAGGTTGAGAGAGAATGAGGGAGAGAGCGAGAGAGAGAGTTAGTTTAGTTCATTTATTATGCACCCCATACCCATCTTGTGGGCGGTAGTGGAAAGGGTTACAGAGGCACATAATGGGCTCAGGGACTGAACCCCACAATTCATTTAGCTAAGCAAGTTACAATCTTGATGAGCTAGTTACAAAATTCAATATAAGTCGTCACATCAACAATGGGTTCTAGATCGACCTCAAGTACAGGTTCTAAATTAAGCAACTGACATATGTGGAGAGCTAGTGTCAAAATTTATATGTTTGTCCTGCACACCGACCCCCATCCAGTGGGCAGCGGTGGATAGGTTACAATCACTTAGTTACTACCTACAGTTAGCAAACTGGGGATATTTGGCTAAAGAGAGGGCGAAAGAGAGAGAGAAAGAGAGAGGAACAGACAGACAGAGATATCCTGTGGAAACTCTGGTAACATAGTCAAATGTTCTAGTTTGATTGTTACTCTCTAAATCCCATAGATCAAACCAGACGTGTGCTCGGAGTACCCAAGAAGCAGGTTTAGAATCCTCAACATGGCTTATTTTGTCCCCTTGGAGTAAATTTAGATTAATTTAATTTTCAACTGTTTCGGCTGCTCGAAACAAGGTCTGGTAAGAACTACCACTTCTCATGATGCGTGAATACTAACATCTACAGCTGGGATCAAGCCAACTCTTACTGCTAGTCTTGGTAGAGGCTTCCAGCTAGTTAGCATCTAAGACAGGGATAAGGAAGACTTCATCAAGAGCGTTATCACCAGAAGTGAGTTTACTTGTTATTAGTGTTTAAGCTGTAAATTATTGAAATACATGTGCATTAAACATTAAATATGGTCATCCTGCTGGACTAAGAGGCCAAGAATTTATCTAAAACAAATATTTTTGTTAGGTGGGATGCAGTTGATGTGGAGCAGCAGCAAGGAGCGAGGCAGGAGGACCTGGAGTATCCTGGTACACTGTCCGACACCAGCTGGTCTCTCACTGGAGGGTCAGTGTGGCTGGTCTTACTTTATTACTTTGTCATACAGCTCAAATTGTCATGCCATACTGGGTGTTGGGTAGATCTTTAAGTGCAGGTTATTCGTAAGGCCTTCAACGGCTGTAGGGTCTTTAAAGGTCAAGATTAACTTCAGATTTCTTAAATCATATTTTAAGTAATATAATAGTTGTGATGTTAATAACTCTTAATAACCCTTCCGTCCTCAGGCTCGGGCGACCACGGCCAGACAACAGGAAGGCGACGAGGACTGTCTCTGGGTACTGAAGAACGTCTTAACGGCATAAAGCGGCACAACATTGCCCGTCACCACGTCAAGTCTGTCGTCTGAGACGCCGCCCTTTGATATTTTCTTGCCAGAAAATGCCATAGTTTCCTGAATGGTGTAGTTGTAAAATATTAAAATTTAAACTAACTTATATTCTATACACCTGTAGACCCCACCAACAGCCTCGTTCACACTTGTAGAGTCCTACAACAAAATAAATATAGCCAGCAAAATTGACAGTAGCTATTGTGTAACAAATACACATATATATGTCACTCGCCCGGCACTGTTAATCTCAGTTAAAACTGCGTGTATATAACAACAGCAGACATTCGGTTCATCACACTCATAAAGGGTTCATATTATGTTAGAGTACCATACAGTATATTAGTTCCATGCAACCCTTGTAATATTTAGTCCATAGATCTGCGGTTAGGGAAACACTGTCCTAAACGACCCAAGGACCACCTGTCCCACTGGGTGTTGGGGCGTGTGTGGGAAGACTGTGCTAAGCCACTGAGTGTCACTTACGGGTCCATAATGGTCACTTTGCCTCGTTCTCACCGGCAGTTAGGGTCTGTTGTGCCACAATAAATATACTAACTACTAATACGATGTTAACTTTAGGGAAACAAAGAGTGTTAGAGGATTACGAGTGAGTGTGTAAATACTGGGGTAAAGAAGGGGTGTATTATGAGAGGCAGCGACCATGAGGAGGGTGTGAGGGAGGTGTTGAGGCGGGCAGGTGGGGCCCAGCTCCTCACTCTCCTCCTCACCTTCACTCCAGTAACATCGTCTCTCCTCGTCTTGCAAGGTATTAAGTTTACGGTCTTGACTTTTTGTTATTAGTTTATAGTGTAATGTTGTAGTTATTTCGGTAATTTATCGAAGAGTTAAGTGTTATCTTGCACCTTATTTGATCAAAATTGTGATGGTTTTGTTTGGTTAGTGTAATATTTATTAACTAACACTTGACTTTCATATTCAAAGTACTACGTGTCATTATTGAAACGCTATACTCCATAGTTTTCAATCGTTACTTAAACTAGTCTTTTCCCCCGGTCGTAATCTTGTTGTAGTAATTGTGAACACTTTAATCCATATTAAGACTTTAAGCAAATGTTTGGTGATTTTTAATGGTACTAAACAGGGCGGGGGGTCGATTTTTAACCGTACTCTAGGAAATTATGCATTTGACCATAGAAACATTCGGCGGTGGCATTATAGTATGTTAATGGAAGTATTTGGATAATGAATTTTTTCCTTATATAAAATGCCGCTTCAACCTGGATCTCTACACAACCCTGTAAAAAGGGCCCTTGAAAGTACTTCTGAGCAATACAGGGATTTGAGTCTAGGCTTTACTCATTTAATCTAAAGAGTGGAATTTAACTAGGTTCTAGTTAGTACTTTGTGTAGTACTTTGAGACTAGCGTCTGATAACGGCAAAAAAATCTAGTAAATTCTTGAATTGCTCTGAATGGGGGAACGGGGTGACCCCATCATTAACTTAAAATGCCTGACATAATCAAACTTCCCCTGTTAATGGTACTGTAGTGACTTGGGCAATAGTCTTACTAGTTTAGTATTACCATGATGCATGATTTTCTACCTTCAATTACTTTCTGGTACTGTACCCTTACGATGTTCCTTGTAGCTGAAGAGCTAGCTTTGTATTTTTTAGCTATATATGCCCAGCTGCATAAATCTTTTTTTTTTTCTCTATACTCTACCTCTTAATCTTGTATAAATGTTCAAAATAACTCTCAAAGTTCTTCTAATTCCTTTTGAAATTTTGAAACTTCCATTCGAACCTTTTTTTTCATGTACATGTCGCAGTTAAAAATTAACTACACGCAATCTGTTGCACCGGGGTTTTAAAGCTATTAAATGTTAGATTCCCTTTCAATGTTTCGGATTGCTTTCGTAAATAGAGTTCATATTTAGACTTCATTTTGATACAATTAATTAGATTGCATTTAAAGAGCCGTGTTTCACGTTAATTTCGTGAGTAGTTAACAGTTTGTTTTTTTTCATGTTAATTGATCTCGGTTTTCAGAGATTGTAACATCGGATAATTTGGAACGTATCAGACAAGGGAGACAGGAAGGTATGAGGATGGGCGTAGAGAATGGGGAGTGGGGACAGGTGGGTGGGGAATGTTTGGGAGGACGGAAATTTTTTGGGGAGGGGGGATGAGTTTAGAGGGGGTTGCTGTGGCTTTTTAATGAGCATGCGTTGCTGAACCACAGCAGCGCGTGGCTGGGTACAGTTGGTATCATTTCTGAAGATTGCCATGTCATTGACTATAATCTACTAAAAAAAAAAAAAAAAAAAAAAAGAGCTAGAAAAAAATCTTCATTCACACCCCCCCCCCCCTTTTTACTCCCACTAGTTTAAGTAGGCATTTTGTGATGCGTTAAATCTTAAGGATTAAAGTTTGTCTCCATAATCTGACTATAATTTTTGTTCAAAAGTAGGTCTATTCGGTTGTTTAACAAGTCTATATATTGCAGATGCGGTGTTTTATTCCAATATTGGTGGCCTCTATCTTCTATGTGGCCGGAGTGACGAGCCAGTACCAACCATTACAGGCATAGTTAACCTCTCCCTGTTGTAAACTAATCTTTCTTTTGTAAATTGTTGATTAAATACTTATACTGCCGCATAAGTTGTGCTTTTCAAAGTAACTTAACTATAGTTTAAATGGTAATGTAATTGTTTTTTACATTTTAACTTTGCAGACCGTGGGTGTCCTGAAGTCCTCCAGTACTTCACCTGGTTTTGACGGTATTCCCAGGGACACTAGTCAACCACTTTCTGGATTAATTGAAGCAATCGGGAGCCTGCCGAGTAGCGCTCAACCTATCGCGGCTGAAGACGCCTTTATCCTCCAGGGCCCTGGCAGCGGCCTCGTGCCTGACGCAGGCCAGCACAGGGGAAGCTTTGCTGATGGACGATATTTTCCCCAAGACTTTCACAGTGGTGTAGCTCCCGGTCCTAATGTTGGCCAGGGTGTCTTTGGTGGTCCCGGTCCTAATGTCGGCCAGGGTGTCTTTGGTGGTCCCGGTCCTAATGTCGGCCAGGGTGTGTCTGGTGGTCCCGGTCCTAATGTCGGCCAGGGCGTCTTTGGTGGTCCCGGTCTTAATGTCGGCCAGGGTGTGTCTGGTGGTCCCGGTCCTAATGTCGGCCAGGGCGTCTTTGGTGGTCCCGGTCCTAATGTCGGCCAGGGCGTCTTTGGTGGTCCCGGTCCTAATGTCGGCCAGGGCGTCTTCGGTGGCCCAGCTACCATATTCAGCGGTGGCAGGTTGGACCAGGTGAACGTGCCGCGGGTTGTAGTGGGCAGCACTGGACCTGCTGGAAGTATTGTCAGACCGGTTGGCGTCCCTCAGGTCAGGAGGGTGGACGATGTCTTCCACCCCACTGTCACCCAAGTTGTCACCGTCGACCGTTGCGTCACTGTCACCGACCAAGCCTTCAACAGTGTGGCAGTAACCTTAACGTCCTTCAGCGTGCAGACTGTCACCGTCGGAACACGCTCGGTAAGTTTACAGTAACAGTGTCATATTAATACAATAACACGCGCATCATCTTCCTGCTTATAACCTTCTCTTCTACAACACAGGTGCTACACACTCCCGTTGATGACCGGGTCGCTCTCCAGACGTCTGTCTCTGTCCGGCCAACGTCAGTAACGTTAACGGAAGTGAAGTCTGACTTCAGGATCGTGACGGAAACGTCACTGAGTTACGTGACCCTCGCTCACACGTCCTACATAATCAGCCAGTACACCTACACCACTCCGGCCACCCAGGTGTAAGTATAGAATACACTGTGTGTGTGTGTGTGTGTGTGGGGGGGGGGGTGTTGGTAACATTACCTCGTGTTAATGACGTATATTTTGTCTTGCAGGTTGACGTACACAGCGACGGTGGTACACACGAATATTAACACCAAGAGCACTACCTTCACCAACTACCGGACAGTGACGGACACTGTGTACATTAACAGCGGCTACGGCTACCGTCCTCAATAAATGCCTTAATCTTAAGACAAAACTCTTGCATTGTTGTAAGAAATATAGAGTAAACTTAAGTAATAGCTAAATATTTTATTAAACTATTTCTAGATCAACAAGTTTTGGTTTAATGCTAGTAAATGATAGCTAGAGGAGAGTCACTATGGGCTCGCCATAGCCCGTTCTACTTGGAACTTTTCAAAGTCGAACAAGTAGTCGGATCTTAAAGTTCGACAAAATAGGAAACTTGCCTTGGCAAGTTTTAACAATCTTTCTCACTTGTATAGGCTTGGTCTTCTACTAGAAACAGTGGCTACCAAAAAATTCGTTGGTAAGGCAAAGCCAGGCACCGTAGAACTCTTAAATAGTGCTCTTGAAGGCTGTGATCATGCCTACCACACATTTCTGTAACTGGCCGGAACATTTAAGTGGGACTAAAGTTAATTTGTCGCACTGTGCAGCCCGTCCTCCTAAACAAAGGCTAAAGTCCATTTCATGGAGCCCCAGTTTATGAATGGTAAAACAAAGACTCAACTGATTATGCAAGCTGTCCTCGGACAAAATCCATTCCACCCAGCTATCGACCCCCAGAGTGTCACAAACTTTGAATGTGCTGTTCATTCCAAATTAGGAAATTCTCGAATATAAATTAATATCTTAGCATACTATGATCATTATTATTAAAGGCATTGGTTAGGTGGTTTAGGTCCTGTTGGCGATTATTTGTAGTATGTGGGCGAAGCATTTTCAGCGAAGTACTTGTTCTGGAAGTGTTCAGACGTAATCGTGTACAGTTCTGCATTCATAAACGGCTACATGGTTTTTCCTGGCTTGTTGCCTTCTTTAATTACTTTATTCATAAACGGGGTCTTTAAATGAGCATGCGGATGCTGCCGCCAAGGAAGCTGTCTGCTCTTGTCTCATCTCTCGTAAAGGTATTCCATATTCCTACTTTTACCAGGGTATCCATTCCTCCATCCTTACCCGTTGGCAGGCTTCTTGGTCGTCTGTTACTGGTAACAAACTACGTACTCTTAAATGTTTCCTCGTGGCCAGCCTCCTACCACCGTAACCGGCGATGGGGAAACGGCTTTGGCGAGATTGCGTATTGGCCATACTCGCTTAACCCATGGTCACTTGATGGAGTGTCGCCCTGCTCCTTATTGCCCTAATTGCATTGTCCCTCTTACGGTCGTGCATGTTCTTCTTGAATGTCCTGAGTTCCGGGACGAGCGTGTGGGGGGGGGGGGGGACGCTTTAAAGCGTCTCAAAGTGTAAACTGCAAGAGATGTTTCCTTTTAAATAAAATTGGTTCTTTATTCCTTTACCTTGCAAACGTCTTGTGGTACTCGGCTAGTTTGCGAGGGTTGAGCTTTGGCTCTTTGGTCCTGCCTGTAGACTATTGTAGAGTTTCTAGAGCCTATTGGGCTCTTGTTAACTACACTTGAAACTGTGTGTAGTGTCTCCACGACATCAGTCGAATACATATGATTTTGACTAGACACGAAAAAGATTTCTAATGTAGCTCATTTGGGTACAAAGCTTAAACTAGTGTCGCCTTGTTAATGTTACACCCATGCTAAAAGGTTTTTTGTCCACTGTAAATTCCAGAGAATTTTGTAGGTGATGTCTAGTTTTCCAGGGACTTTAGGTTTAGCTCCCGTAGCCTTTCCTCGTACCTCTTGGTCCTTGGACTAGTCTGGTGGCATACCTCAATCTTATGTTTGTCTTGTCTAACTATGTATAGACTCCAGGCTGGTGCTGCATTCTCACGTCAGACCAATCCTCGAGTGGTATGAGAGCTTCTGAATGACTATTTAAAAGTTAACCAAAGCACTTGTTGGCCAATCTAGCATATCCCGCTGATGTAATTTTGATGTGGGCTCCTGGGGATAGGTTTAGTGTTATCAGCCCCCAGATCTATTTGACTTGCAGGATTTCATCTCCCACATGATGCATAGTATTCGGCCTCCTGCTCCCTTCACCTAATTTAATTACTTTCCAGTATTAAACTTAGCCATTTTCTAGATCATTCCACCAGGTTTTTCCAGGTTGTCTATAGTCTTCATCAGTCTTGATTATTCCCAGATTTGTTTTTGCATCGGAACTCGGAGGGAGGAGTATCATCTAGAAGACCGCTTACATACATCTGAAACAGGATGGGTCCAAATAGAGCCCTGTGGGAATCCGCTGGTGACATCTCATCACTGATGTCACTCCCTCTTCCCCAAGTTAATATTTCTTGTTGCTTGGATATTCCTTTATCCACTGGACCACTTTACCCAGCCTTTCCTTAGTTCTGTTTCCCATGGTATTCCAATTAAGTTCATATATTCATATTTTCATTTCTAAATATCTTGATTTTCCTCTTCGGTAAAACAACTTTCTTTCAGATCCTTTGCTTGGGTAGAAAATCCTTACCTCGACCAGATACTGCAACGTCAATACGCTGTGGTCACTCATTCCCGTGGGGGGGAGGGTGGGTTCACATCTGACTTCCCTTATGTCTTTGACTTGTTGGCTCAGTTTCTTGCTGCCAGGTCAGTTTAGCTCGCCATGTATCTGCACCTCATTGTTCTCCATTCGCAGTTTAATTCCGTAGTTGAAGTCGCCCATAATTGTCTGGATCCATTCCTGCAGGCAACTGAAGCTGCTCTTGTATAAATAGTTGCCCGTTTTATCGAACTCCTGGGTCTTCTGTCATTTAATGGAGGGTTGTAAGTGACAATGGGTGGACCTAAAACAATAGTAGCATAGTTTACGTAGTTTTTGAAACGTTCACAGGCTGGGATATCCGTCTCTTCAAAATTAAAGTACTTATCAGCAGGGCTATTCTTCTCCCTTCCCACTTTGCTTACTATATAGTAGTCCTGCAGAAACAGCGTTTATGATGCCTAAATTTAGTTTCTGAGCCCTTTACATCTGTGTTTACTTCCTGCACCCTATCGGCTAGTTCACTTTATTAGTAATCCCATTGATGTTAGAGTACATTACCTTGAAGCTCGCTTTCCTATATCCATTATCTCCCTCCCCACTGGTGTAGTAAGCTGTTCCATGGGCAGGGCTACTTGGCTATGCTCTACCTCCTATGGTGGTAGTTACCAGGGGTCGGGTGGTGGATGGAGGGTTTAGATCTTGCCTTGGGCTGCTTGGTGCAGGAAGACCAGGCATTGTGTAGGGGAGGGAAGGGTTTGGACTTTGTGAAGGAGGGGGGGGGTGTTGGTTCTCCTGGGGTTCCTGAACTGATTCGGGTTCCACACTTCCCTCTGGGATTGGAGGCTATGGCTCCCTTCCATCACTCTGGATGAATACCTTTCTGTATTTCATTGAATTTTGTAGTTTGCTCTTTACTAGAATGTCCTCTTTGGTGGATTCGTTCCTGAATGAGGCCACCATATCAATCGACTAGAATGACGCCATTTATACATAGATTTTTGTTGCATTGTCCAAAACAGAAAGCCTTCTCTGCATGGATAAGCCCCTTCCTTTTGTATCTCAGCATCCCCGACACTGAAGCTTTGTCCTTGGCTCTCCACTCTTCCTGTCTGGAACCTTCTTGTTCCCTAATGCCTACCCCAACTACAGCTCTCTTCCCCCCCCCCTTTCCATTAGCTTCCTGTGAAGTTACTTTCATTGCAACTTCCTTGACCGTGGACATGGCTTCTGGAGTCTTCCTCAACATTTCAGCCAAGGTCCCTACCATTGTAGAGGTCCCTGCTGTTGCTATATTACCTGCTACCTGCGGGGTTGATGGCCAGAAGTTGTTGTATTTCCTCCTGCTCTGTTCCATCTGTAGTTTAATTAGGGTTTCTCCTCATGACTGATTTCCCTCCAAGCACGAGCGATCTCCTCCAGTGGAAAAATCGTCCTGTCCCTCTCCACCACCTGTGTTTTATTATCCTACCATCATGATACTTTTTGGGGATGTAGGGTTAGTGTTGAGCTTCAAGGGGTCAGAGAGATGAAGGGACAGGAAGGAAGACAGGTTGATGCGGGAGGGGGGGGGGAGGAGCCGGGACAGAGCTACAGAAGAGTTAAGGGAAAAGAAAGAGAGGGGGCGGGGGGGGGGGGAGAGAAAGGGAGGAAGATATATAAATGAGAGGGGGAGTTGGGGACAAGTGGAGAAGAGCTGTGGAGGTTGTGGTGGGCGGGCAGGTGCACTTGGGTGCAAGTTCGGTGCAGGTGTACTTAGTGCAAGTGTACTTGGGTGCAAGTTCGGTGCAGATGCACTTGAGTGCAGGTGCACTTAGTGCAAGTTCGGTGCAGGTGCACTTAGTGCAAGTTCGGTGCAGGTGCACTTAGTGCAAGTTCGGTGCAGGTGCACTTGGGTGCAAGTTCGGTGCAGGTGCACTTAGTGCAAGCAAGTTCGGTGCAGGTGCACTTAGTGCAAGTTCGGTGCAGGTGCACTTAGTGCAAGTTCGGTGCAGGTGTACTTGGTGCAAGTTCGGTGCAGGTGTACTTGGTGCAAGTTCGGTGCAGGTGCACTTGGGTGCAAGTTCGGTGCAGGTGCACTTGGGTGCAAGTTCGGTGCAGGTGTACTTGGGTGCAAGTTCGGTGCAGGTGCACTTGGGTGCAAGTTCGGTGCAGGTGCACTTGGGTGCAAGTTCGGTGCAGGTGCACTTAGTGCAAGTTCGGTGCAGGTGCACTTAGTGCAAGTTCGGTGCAGGTGCACTTAGTGCAAGTTCGGTGCAGGTGCACTTAGTGCAAGTTCGGTGCAGGTGCACTTAGTGCAAGTTCGGTGCAGGTGCACTTAGTGCAAGTTCGGTGCAGGTGCACTTAGTGCAAGTTCGGTGCAGGTGCACTTAGTGCAAGTTCGGTGCAGGTGCACTTAGTGCAAGTTCGGTGCAGGTGCACTTAGTGCAAGTTCGGTGCAGGTGCACTTAGTGCAAGTTCGGTGCAGGTGCACTTAGTGCAAGTTCGGTGCAGGTGCACTTAGTGCAAGTTCGGTGCAGGTGCACTTAGTGCAAGTTCGGTGCAGGTGCACTTGCACTAAGTGTGCAAGTTCGGTGCAGATGCACCAAAGTGCACTAAGTGCAAGTTCGGTGCAGGTGCACTTAGTGCAAGTTCGGTGCAGGTGCACTTAGTGCAAGTGTACTTGGGTGCAAGTTCGGTGCAGGTGCACTTAGTGCAAGTTCGGTGCAGAACTTGCACTTAGTGCAAGTTCGGTGCAGGTGCACTAAGTGCAAGTTCGGTGCAAGTGCACTTGCAGTGCAAGTTCGGTGCAGGTGCACCAAGTGCAAATTCGGTGCAAGTGCACTTGGGTGCAAGTTCACCTGCAGGTGCACTTAGTGCAAGTGTACTTGAGTGCAAGTTCGGTGCAGGTGCACTTAGTGCAAGTTCGGTGCAGGTGCACTTAGTGCAAGTTCGGTGCAGGTGCACTTAGTGCAAGTTCGGTGCAGGTGCAACTTAGTGCAAGTTCGGTGCAGGTGTACTTGGGTGCAAGTTCGGTGCAGGTGCACTTGGGTGCAAGTTCGGTGCAGGTGCACTTAGTGCAAGTTCGGTGCAGGTGCACTTAGTGCAAGTTCGGTGCAGGTGCACTTAGTGCAAGTTCGGTGCAGGTGCACTTAGTGCAAGTTCGGTGCAGGTGCACTTAGTGCAAGTTCGGTGCAGGTGCACTTGAGTGCAAGTTCGGTGCAGATGCACTTGAGTGCAAGTTCGGTGCAGATGCACTTGAGTGCAAGTTCGGTGCAGATGCACTTGAGTGCAAGTTCGGTGCAGGTGCACTTAGTGCAAGTGTACTTGGGTGCAGGTGCACTTAGTGCAAGTTCGGTGCAGGTGCACTTAGTGCAAGTTCGGTGCAGGTGTACTTGGGTGCAAGTTCGGTGCAGGTGCACTTGGGTGCAGGTGCACTTAGTGCAAGTTCGGTGCAGGTGCACTTAGTGCAAGTTCGGTGCAGGTGCACTTAGTGCAAGTTCGGTGCAGGTGTACTTGGGTGCAAGTTCGGTGCAGGTGCACTTGGGTGCAGGTGCACTTAGTGCAAGTTCGGTGCAGGTGCACTTAGTGCAAGTTCGGTGCAGGTGTACTTGGGTGCAAGTTCTTGCAGGTGCAGTTCGGTGCAGGTGCACTTAGTGCAAGTTCGGTGCAGGTGCACTTAGTGCAAGTTTGGTGCAGGTGTACTTGGGTGCAAGTTCGGTGCAGGTGCACTTAGTGCAAGTTCGGTGCAGGTGCACTTAGTGCAAGTTCGGTGCAGGTGCACTTGGGTGCAGGTGTACTTGGGTGCAAGTTCGGTGCAGGTGTACTTGGGTCGAGCGGGAATACGGATGGCCACTAGCAGGCCCTTCAGTGTTACCCAACTGCCTATCGAATGAGCTAATATGAAATTTTTAAAGAGTTTAAGTTATGCTAACTCTCCATACACCAGATGACCTAGAAAGAGCTACCCATCAGCCAACATTCCCGCTCAGCACAAACTAGTTTAGTGCTGTCTTTTCTTAGTCATGGATTGCTGGCGTTATGATGAGGTTGGTAGAAATCTTGCCCAGGTACTGCAGGTTTCCATGTAGTGGTTGCCGTCTGTCCTCTCTATCCATCAAGTGTCGGTCACTGCAGAATACTTTCCACACAGATCATTATGGGTGCTCTAGTAACACTATGCTATTCTAGACATTCCATACTTAGTTATCAAATCAAGGCACCAAGCCGGGGAGGCTATATAGCACCATTAAGAGTGCGGGATAGTCAAAAGACGCTAAATATTATTAAGGATGTCAATACGAGTGCAAGTTCATACTTGTGACATACATTTATACAAAAGTGTATAAGGCAAATAACATCAAATGCATCAGATTCACCAAGGATACTATAGAGGGATAGGTGACCGCGAGGGACAGTCGGGAAGCAAGACCCACGCCCATTCTGGAAATCAGGACATTCAACAAGGATATGCACGACCGTAAGAGGGACAATACAATTTGGACAACAAGGATGAGGGCAGCTCTCCATTAAGTGCCTGTGAGTTATGTATCAGCCAGACCCACTTAACGGCTAGAGCCGTTTCCCACCGCCGTTTCCCGTGGTAGGAGGAAGGCCATGGGAGACAACACTTAAGAGCACGCAGCTTGTTGAGAGTAACAGAAGAGTAACAGAAGACCAACGACCCCAACAATGGGCAAGGATTGAGGAATGAATAACTGGATAGAAGTCTGAAAAAGAAATATCTTTACAGAAGATGGGACAGGTGCGGACAGCTTCCTTAACGGCAGTGTCCGCACATTCATTTAAGGAAACCACCAATATGGCTGGGAACCCAGCAAAACTCGACTGTCTTAAATCTGCTGGAGATAAACAGTCAATATTGAAGTTCGATGACCACAGGATTATGACTCCAGAGCTATGAGAGCACTGCTTGAGTCAACTACAACAACAGCAGGAAGAATTACAGTGAGAAAGCCGTTGACAAAAAGCAAACAAAATTGCATAAAGTTCAGCCGTGAAGATGCTAGTCTCTTGAGGAAGGCGACACACATTGTTGTGTTTCCTGACTGCACCCGAGTAGCCTACACTCAGCAGACCTAGACCCATCTGTGACGACGGAGATGGAGCGAGAGTGTGAAGAAAAGTGAGCAAGCAAAAGGCGTTTCAGAACTGTAGGACGGAGTAATGACCTGCATGGCTAACGTTATACAAAACCTAGGAAGAGGGACCCTCCATGGGGGCAAGGTCTGAATGACACGATGAAAAACACTGGCGACACGAACCGAGAGAAACTTGCAAGCGAGACAACCGTACAGAAAGGGAACAGGGCCCACAGGAGGGGTAACGGTCAAAGTACGACATAAGCAAGAGTGTTTTAAAGGGACCAGGCAAAGTAGCGAGGGCAATAGCGATCACTGCGATCCTGTAGAGACTGGATACCGGTCTCATCATACAAACTCTGAATATGATCGAACGAAAGGCACCACTTGCTCTCCGAAACAAAAACGGGCGTCCTACTGCGGACGTTTCTTCCAGGCTGCACGCTTACAGCAGTCTGCATTCCACCAGGGAATGCACTTTCGCGTACCCGAGGGTAGAGCGAGGAACAGAGCAGAGGGCAGCTTAAAACTGCCATGAAAGAGGAAGGCTCAGGGAAGAGGTAGATCAGAGAGGTCGGAAAGAGTAGCACACAAGGTGAAGAGGTTCTAGTCAGCCCTGGCAAACTGCCACCTAGGGAAAGAGGGGAGGGCAGAGAGAGATGACAAGGATGGGGAAAAGTTCACTTATGTAGGTCATCAAGAACTCACCAGGCAAAGTCCAAATATAGATAAGATAAGCAGAGAAAAAGATCAAGACAGGAAAAGGTGAGAGTCAACATGAGTAGACTCACCAGAATTCAGAAGACAAAAGGGTCAAGGCAGCAGCCGACTGGTGTCCCGACCAAAGGAGACCGAAAGGAATCGAATGAGCAAGTGTAGGTGACGACGCCGAGCACCCCAAGTAAGAGGAGGAGGAGGAGGGGGGGGGGGGGGGGTTGTAAAAGGCGCAGTTGTGACAACTGGATAAGGTCGTCACCACTGGGGACTTAACCCCACCACAGAGGTGGGAGGGCAGCGCGCACCCGCGCACACACACACACACAGTCAGGAGAGTCCAAGAAGGAACATTGTAGACCCCGCTACATTGGGCCCATGACAGAGCCCGGTCTTCCAACACAGTAACTCGGGGGCCTGGTCAGGAACAATGTTTCATCGGCGCTGCTCAGCTCAAGTCGGGGCCCTGCCAGGACCTTTCAGGGTGAAGGCGTCGCTACTACAGCGTGTAGTGTTTAATTCAGGTAGTGGGCGACCCGCATCTCTGAAAACTGTTGCCAAGAGCAACCGACACATCCAAGTTCTGAAAACCAGGAGCCTGCAAAGACAGATTTAGTTGAACTTTGAGACATTAAAATCATTAATACATTTTAGCCATTATGTACTTCAAAATATAAGAAGATGTAGCAATATTGTCAGATTTGAACTAAAATATCTAAGGACTGGATGTCAAACCCCATACCTGCAGAAACTGGCTAGTCATTCCAGCTAGTTGGGACACCAAGGTCATTAATTAAGACCGTAGACACTGCATCTGCAATAAGTATGTAAAGATTAAAACCTTTGTATAGCCTGTCATACTAACAAGTATGCACAATTAGAAATATGACCTAACGAAATAACATTTAAAAAACAAATTATTAGTGCCAAGATTCTATTAATATGAAATTAACATGGAGCATTACAGATAAATTTTACGAATTTGGTTTATGTAAATGTAGCTCATGAAGTTTGAAAGATACGGCCATTAAATTATTAATAACGAGGCTAGTACAGTTTTGGGTACTAAGCAGTTACCAAATTATGGTTATTATTACAAGTTTAGGTTCGATATTTAAATATAATACCAAGTTCCAGGGAGAGTGTCAGTCCTTTTAGTTACACGAAGGTGTATTTAAATGTTACGTGTTTGATAAGTGGCAAACTACCTGGTTTCAGACACGTTAAAAGTTATCAGGTATGCAACTTAAAATAAAAAATCCGTAATGTTTAAGATATTTAGCAATTGGTACATTATTATGGGAAATGTTATTTAATTGATTTAATGTATTAGTCATGATGTTATTAGTCTTAAGAATTAAAGGGTATTCATTTCACAGGAGGAAGTCAAATGTTTATTTAAAACTAGCACTTTTTTACCCCACACTCTAATATGATTAAAATACCTCAAGAAGACTAGCTACTCAAACTAAGCAAGAGTACTGGCATTTTTAAGTGAAGTCATTTTGCGTTCATGTCATTATCGCTCATTCATTTTAGAAAGAACATCCTTCCACCGAAATAGTCAAGGGTCTCAATTTTTCTACACAAATATTTGAAAACTGATGTTAAAGTAACATTTGAGACTAAACTACCTCGGAACGAAGAGGTTATCAATAAAAAGTATAATACATGTTGACGCCATACAAGGTTTAATCTGACTAAAAATGTTTCACATCGTTATGTCGGCATAACCCAATATTTGACAAAAGTTATCAAGTTTCTACATTTTAAAAATATTTTTTTCCGTAACACGATTATTAAGTTAAGTGAAACAACCAATTCAATAGCAAGGTACTCTAGAAAATGTTACCCATTAACAAGCTAACCTCAACACTAACAGTTAATATCCAATGGGTCTCGCTGCTAACTTAAATCACCATAACGGCTCTTAAACACCTACACAGATCTAAAACTAGGACTTTAAACCAACATTAAAACACACATTACCGTAATATATGAAGAGAAGCAGCCAGACGATGTTACTGGCGTGAAGGCGAGGAGGAGAGTGAGGAGCTGGGCCCCACCTGCCCGCCTCAACACCTCCCTCACACCCTCCTCATGGTCGCTGCCTCTCATACACCCCTTTACCCCAGTATTTACACTCACTCTTAATCCTCTAACACTGTTTCCCTAAAGTTAACGTCGTATTAGTAGTTAGTATATTTATTGTGGCACAACAGACCCTAACTGCCGGTGAGAACGAGGCAAAGTGACCATTATGGACCCGTAAGTGACACTCAGTGGCTTAGCACAGTCTTCCCACACACGCCCCAACACCCAGTGGGACAGGTGGTCCTTGGGTCGTTTCGAGTTTACCTCAGCCTCAAGTTCTCGTACTTTCGGTGAATAACCTTACGTTTATCTGGCCGTAGCCGCTTGGGGCAACTCTGCGAAGCGAGTCACTTAAAGCTAAATAAAATTAGATATGTACAACGTGTCTTAAGATTCAACCTATAGTTATTATAGATAAATTACAAAATAGACACTGTTGCACCAAAAAGAGTTAGTCATTTTTATAGCGGGACTAGGAAAAAGGGCAACATTCAAACCTAATTTTTCCAATGGCACATCTATACCAAGTAATTATCAAAAGGTCAAGCTTTGAAGACTATGTAGACTGTACCTCTGGATAGTCAAAAGCCACAAATTATCACTTAAGATAATACGAGAGAAACACGGTATACAGCGAGAGCCATCAAAGGTAATGGATATACCTAGGATATGCTAATGGATTCTACCTAGGACAAAAACCATCCCGGAAGAATATTATGAAAGCAAGATGTACGACCATCAAAGACTTGACAACTTAACAAGGACGTGCAGAGGAAAATGCAATTCGGCCATTAAGGAGCAGGGCGTTCCGTTAGGTGTCCACGAGCAGTGGTGTAGGGGAGGCACACTACACAGTTTGAAGCGATATGATAACCAAATAGGTTCAAGAATCTACGTTAGTCGATCGACATTCGAGAGGCGAGACCAAAGAGGCTCAACCTTAGAGTACACAATCCTGAGGGTGATCTGGGTACCCACAGAATAGGTCCTGTGGAACACTTTACTCTGGGGAGATGGTAAGGTGCCAAGCAAGTATTTAACTAGCGGCCAGTTCTAACCTGGCCAGTTTAATGTAATTGTCGCATAACAAAACCAAGCCTCTGAAGGTCAGCCGAAGCGTTTCTCTGCCACCTCTGTTACTTGTGGAGCTAATGGGTGGTTTTTATGGCCCATTTTTGAAGGTTTATAAGACTAGGTTAACACTACAATAGGGCTGTTGTGCCGAGGGAGTAAAGACTTCGTACTGTCAAGTCTCGCCAAGAGTTAAGGGCTTACCACCCATAATGTCAAGCTTCAGTTGTATTACTAATGCACGATACATGGAAGGTGTTGTACAGAGAGGGGAGATGTATGTTAGTCTGGTTTTAAGGTGTTCATACACCAGAATGTAGTTCCGAACTGTACCTGATCACTCTGGTTGTGTGTTCAGGAGAACAGCAGCATCTAAGGGCCTAGTCAGAGACCGAGCCACGAGAACATTGTGTCCAGCAGTACATATCACGTTTATACGAGGTAGGATAAAACTAGTGTTTGAGGTAGCAAATTTAGTATCAAATTCAAAGTTTGTGTCGAGAATCGGCGAGAGGCGTCATCAGGAAGCAAGCTCAGATCAGAAGACTATAGTGACTGGCACATGATCGGGATCTCTTGCTCTTTACCAATTCTATGGTTATCTTAAACCTCTGTATCGGTGCCTCACTCCTAACTCTTCTAACATTATTTCCACCTGCACCGATACAAATCATGGGGTTGTTCCCATTTCCAACCATATCATTAATGACAACTTGGTTTTATGCCTTCGTTGTTGATATTCAGTACAGACGGTCCTCGTTGCCTTCTCTTGACTGGCTTTGGTTGGCTGGACCTGAGGACGAGAAGTTAACAGTAGAAATGTCAGGTTTAAAATAATTACTGCACACTTCCCCCCCCCCCCCAACTTAAAGCTGCTAACAATACTACTAGTATAGTAGATAATATTGTGCAAATGAGATTTAATGATTGATAATTAAAAAGTATTTATAAAACCGATTGACAATTTTAGTGCAAGGTTTATAAAGTTGTGAAATTGGGTGTATGTTATAAGATTGGTAAATATTAAATGTTTTCAGTCAATCTACGCTTGTGTATGTGATGTCCTTGTGAGGGAGAGAAGCAGGTAACCTTAGACGTTGTGTGTTTAACTCCGGGGGGGTCACTGAGGTACAGTGGTAGTGCCACACGCAGCACTATGCGCACTTAACCCAACCTTCGAGTCCTCAAAACAGATCGGAAATAATGGTAATTTCCCCGAATACACTTCACTAGTTCCAGTACGGAAGACCAAGGGGAAGGGAGGGAGGGTGAGGGACGCAACAAGGGACAAAGGAAGGGGGAGACGCAACAAGAGGGCAGGGGGGGGGACGCAACAAGGGAAGGGGGGAGGACGCAACAAGGGAAGGGGGGACGCAATAAGAGGAGTGGGGGGGGGGGATCCCCCACATACAGCTCACCTTCAAGAGACGAGCCTGGAACTGTATACCAAAAGTGAGGTAAAACACACTGAAGTGATTTTTTGTCTCGTGGTCCCTTTTATACCCAGCAGCCAACGAAACTCGGCCGCTGATTGGTTGACATTCACCCTAAAACTCACCCCATTGGTTAACATTTTGCGAGTCTCAAGTGTCAATTAACAATGGCCAACAGCCACTCCTTCACTTCCCCAGACACGAACGAGTCTCTAATGAACCAGTAATGATCCCCAGCTTAAATATTTGAAGTTGTTAATTTCAAAATCTAATTCACAAAACATGTAGACCTGACCAAATGTAAACTGTGTCAACAAAATTATTCACACACTCTCCGTCACTATGTGATGGAGTGCGAAAAAGTACGTGAATTCGGAGAGAATTCTATAACAAATGTTTAAGAAATGTGTAAATATTTCATCCAAAATGATCTGCTATCAGAAATCTTAGCCAAATATCCCCAGTTTGCTAACTGTAGGTAGTAACTAAGTGACTGTAACCTATCCACCGCTGCCCACTGGATGGGGGGCGGTGTGCAGGACAAACATATCAATTGTGACACTAACTCTCCACATATGTCAGTTGCTTAATTTAGAAACTGTACTTGTGGTCGATCTCGGGGCCATTGATGATGTGACGATGTCTATTGAATTTTGTGACTAACTCATCAAGACTGTAACTTGCTTAGCTAAATGATTTGTGGGGTTCAGTCCCTGAGCCCATTATGTGCCTCTGTAACCCTTTCCACTACCGCCCACAAGATGAGTATGGGGTGCATAATAAATGAACTAAACTAACTACTCATCTTCTGGTGAGTGGTTTAGTTCTCATATCTTCAAGCCACGTTATTGCGACTCATCTTCTGCAATAGACGATTCTATTGACTGTCTATTGAAGAATAGAGAAAGTAAGAACAGATAATACTTTTCCCTGATTTATCTGTTCTTAACTGTCTATACGTAGTTCTTATGGAAAATTTCCATGAGCTTCAACTTTTGTTCTGCCAGTTTTCACAGCTTTGTATTCACCTAGTTGTCCTTGCGGGGGTTCAGCTCTGGCTCTTTCGGCCCGTCTCTCAACTGTCCAATGAACTCTGTCCACACAGACACACACACACACAGGGTGTGTGTGTGTGGGGTCTGGTAGCTGAGTGGACAGCGCTCTACACTCGTGGACCTAGGGACCGGGGTTCGATCCCGGCAGCTGGCTGAAAAACAAATGGGACGTTTCCTTCACCCTGATGCACCTGTTAAATAGCAGTAAATAGATACCTGAGTTAGACAGCTTCTACGGGCTGCTTCCTGGTGTGTGTGTGTGTGTACTCACCTATTTGTGCTTGAGGTGATTGAGCTTTGGTTCTTTGCTCCCGCCTGTGTGTGTGTGTGTGTGTGTGTGTGTGTGTGTGTGTGTGTGTGTGTGTGTACTCACCTAGTTGTGCTTGCTGGGGTTGAGCTTTGGCTCTTTAGTCATGCCTCTCAACTGTCAATCAACTGGTGTACAGATTCCTGAGCCTGCTGGGCTCTATCATACTTATATTTGAAACTGTGTGTGTGGAGTCACACCACACCACACCACTGCCCAATGCATTCCATTTGTTAACTACTCTGATACTGAAAAAAAGTTCTTTCTAATATCTCTGTGGCTCATTTGGGCACTCAATTTCCACCTGTGTCCCCTAATGCGTGTGCCCTTGTGTTAAATAGCATATCCTTATCTACCCTATCAATTCCTTTGAGAATCTTGTATGTGGTGATCATATCTGTACTCCTGTCTTCCAGCGACGTGAGGTTCAACTCCCGTAGTCTCTCCTCATAGCTCATACCTCTCAGCTCGGGTACTAGTCTGGTGACAAACCTTTGAACCTTCTCCAGTTTAGTCTTATGCTTGACTAGATATGGACTCCATGCTGGAGCTGCATACTCCAGGATTGGTCTGACATGTGGTATACAAAGTTCTGAATGATTCCTACCACAAGTTTCTAGATGCCGTTCTTATGTTGGCCAGCCTGGCATATGTCGCTGATGTTATCCCCTTGATATGGGCTGCAGGGGACAGGTCTGGCGTGATATCAACCCCCAAGTCTCTCTCTGACTCTTGAAGAATTTCATCTCCCAAATGATACCTTGTATCTGATCTCCTGCTCCCTACATCTATCTTCATCCCATTACATTTGCTTGGGTTAAACTCTAACAACAATTTGTTCGACCATTCATGTGAGTGTATGCGTGTGTGCATTCACCTAGTTGTGCTTTCGGGGGTTGAGCTCTGCTCTTTCGGCCCGCCTCTCAACTGTTACTACTTTTTTTTCCACAAAAAAATATCACACACACACACCAGGAATCAACCCGTGACAGCTGACTAACTCCCAGGTACCTATTTACTGATAGGTAACAGGGACATTAGGGTAAAAGAAACTCTGCCCATTGTTTCTCGCCGGCGGCCGGAATCGAACCTGGGACCACAGGATCACAGTCCAGCGTGCTGTCCGCTCAGCCACCGGCCCCGGACAGGTGTGTGTGTGTGTGTGTGTGTGAAAAGAAAAATAGTAGTTAGTAACAGTTGAGAGGCGGGCCGAAAGAGCAGAGCTCAACCCCCCCAAGCACATCTAGGTGAATGTACACCAGGAAGCAGCCCATAGCAGCTGTCTAACTCCCATTTACCTATTTACTGCTAGGTGAACAGATGCAACAGGGTGAAAGAAACTACCCATTTGTTATCGCCGTAACCAGGGATCGATTCCCCAGACCATAGTATTACAAGTCCCAAGCGCTGTCCACTCACCTACCAGGCCCCTAAATGTACGTGTCCAGATCA